GGAGACGTGGAAGAGGCTCTTGGCTCCTGGCTTCAGATTGGCTCAGCTTTGGTCCTTGCAGCTACTTGGGGGTGTGAACCAGTGGATGGAAGATCTTTTTTCTTCTCTCTGTAAAGCTGCCTTTCTAATAAAAATAGGTACTAAAAAAAAGTTGGGCCCCTGGCACGATAGCTTAATGGCTAAGTCCTCACCTTGCATCTGCTGGGATTTCATATGAGCTCTGGTTCATATCCCAGCTGCTCCACTTCCCATCCAGCTCCCTGCTTGTGGTCTGGGGAAGCAGTCAAGGATGGCCGAAAGCCTTGGGACCCTGCACCTGCGTGGGAGAGCCGGAAGAAGCTCCTGGCTCGTGGCTCAGTTCCGGCCATTGTGGCCACTTGGGGAGTGAGCCAGTGGACGAAAGGAAGATCTTTCTCTCTCTCCTTCTCCCTTTATATCTGCCTTCCCAATAAAAATAAATAAAATCTTTTTAAAGAAGTTTGAAGCAGAGAAAGTAAGCACAGCAGATATTTTAATTTTTCTAACCTACAAGAGGGACAGTATACAGTCACTTTGAGGCACAGTATATAGTTACTTCGGCACCCTGCAGCCAAGATAACCCTCAGGACACTGGTGGATTATTTCATCCTCCGTGCAGAGACAGACTTGGAGCCAGGTGGGTTTGAATGGTTGGCAAATGGCACAGTCACAGAGGTAATGAATAATAAAACTGCCCAGGCTCTACTTCCTGGCACCCTTCCTTCTAGCATGATCCATAACTGCTTTCCTCCGTAGTCAGAATCAGTCATCATAGGAAGGAATTACAATGACTTTTTCTGTTTGCTCCTTTAAGTCCCATATTGCCACTAATGGACATTTTTTTTTTTTTACCATAATGTCCAAATGTTAATTTGAATAAGTAAGATATAGCTGTTTAAAAACATACCTTCCAGGGCCCGGCGCCGTGGCGCAAGTGGTTAAAGGTCCTCACCTTGCACGCCGGGGATCCCATATGGGCGCCGGTTCTAATCCCGGCAGCCCCGCTTCCCTTCCAGCTCCCTGCTTGTGGCCTGGGAAAGCAGTCGAGGACGGCCCAAAGCTTTGGGAACCTGCACCCGCGTGGGAGACCCGGAAGAGGCTCCTGGCTTCAGATCGGCATAGCATCGGCATAGCATCGGCCCGTTGCGCTCACTTGGGGAGTGAATCATTGGAGGGAAGATCTTCCTCTCTGTCTCTCCTCTCTGTATATCCACCTTTCCAATGAAAAAATAATAAAAATAAATCTTTAAAAAAAAAAACATACCTTCCAGCATTTCAGTTTTTCGCCTCATTGTCTTTTTATATATTTTTAAGTTGAGCTCACCATTTTGATGTGTTGATAAGATGCCTTTGTGTTCCTGGGAGAAGCAGTTCTAAATGAATGCGTTCCCATGAGTATTGATTAGTAGAATCTAGAGCCAGGATTAGACGTAGCAAGAAGGGAACTTTAGGCAAGGAGGGAAAGACGGATGTGTTGTGTGACTTGCCCTCTTCCTAGCTGTGGGGCGTTGGGCAACTTACTTAGTTCTCATGAGTCTTAGCTTTCTTGTCCTCAACATGAAACTAACAATACCACATTTGTTGCCATACATTCAAAGGTAGGTCTGTAGCACAGAGCTTGATCCATACACAGAGTATTTTTCTCAGAATGTTCTCTTTGTTATTGCCTATGTTTTCAGCTAAGTAATCAACTCCGCGTTGGACACTGCGGACTCGGAGAAGACAGAGCTTCTGCCCTGAGTTGTCAAGAGAGGCAGAGCATCAAAATCTTTGAAATAGAGCCTGACCCTGCTTAACATCCGCATAGGCTTTGGGGAGACTCGGATAGGCTCTGCAAAGGGGCAAAGTGCAAGTCTTAAACGCCGTGGTGGAGTAAGGAGAAGAGTGAGGAGCACTTTGGAAAAGTGGACTAACATATATAAAGCCTGGGAGTACAAGAGTTTAAGGAAATTGTAGTGCCAGCATCCTGTGTGGGTGCCAGTTCTAGTCTGGTGGCCTGGGATAGTAGTGGATGATGGCCCAAAGCCTTGGCCTCTTCACTGATGTGGAGGACCTGGAGGAGCCTCCTGGCTCCTGACTTTGGATCAACTCAACCTTGGCTGTTGCAGCCATTTGGGGGTGAACTTGGATGGAAAAGATTTTTCTCTCTGTCTCTCCTCTCTGTAGATCTGCCTTTCAAATACAAAGAAAAATGAATATGTTTTTAAAAAGTGTGGGGGGTTGTGAACAATGCAGTGTGACTGGAGCAGGGATTATGCACAGGCACAAGCTGAAGAATATGGTCAGGGCTAGATCAGCTAGAGTTGTGTCCTTTGGATTTTCTTTTTGAAGTCAGGCTGTTGAATAACATTTTTACAGATTTATATATAACATTTTTTTTCCCAAAAGATTCTGGTAACAATTTGGAAAACAATCAAAGATAAAAAGCTGGAGATAGAATTTTTTAAGGCCATTTTAGTAAAGTGTAAAGAATCTATGAAGTGGTGGAGGTTGTGTGGAAGAGATTGATACAGAAGAAGAGTGACAACATTTGGTGAGAGTGGACGTGGACTTAAATAAGAACAGGAGTTAGTAACAGTGCTTAGGTGTCTGGCTTTGGTGATAGGACACCAAGTGTAATATCCTTCTCTAAAGAGAATGAAGAGGAAGCTAACGGATTCCCTCTGAGGAAGCAAGCAGATTTACAACTAGCACATCTGGAATATCCATGCGGAGCTGCCCAGTGGAAGTGAGGCGTGGTGGTCCTGGTTGAAAGAGAGCTCTGGGAATTTAGACTGCAGAGACACGGGGACGCGGAGGGTCATGGAGACAGATGACACCAAAAAGAGAGAGGGCTATGCCAGGTTCCCCAAATTAAGCACATGAGAACGCTTTAGCAAATGAAGAACAACAAGAGCACAGTTTCATTTAGACCTCCTAACAACCTGTGAGTTAGGAATACAGTCCCACTATTACAGATGAGAAAATTTCAGGCTTAAAGAATTAAGTGACTTGCCCAAGTCACTTTGCTGCTTAGTGAAAGACGGGGCTATTGTTTTTCCTTCCACATCCTGCTGCTTGTTAAACCTCAGAAATTTGAATGTATGCTCATACTATCTTTAATTCTCTTTTCTTTACCTCTGCCAACATACTGGTTTTGTAGGAATGTAGTGTGGTCATTTTAAATAAACACCTTCTATCTGGATTCCCCCTTCATCATCATTCCAGACACGTCTTGGGAGATTGCCTTTCCCACCAGCCTGACTCCTCCCACTCAGTTCCACTCCAGTGGCTGCTTGGAAACGGCCAAGCAGCAGCTGCCAGAGATGTGTGTCCTCTGCTTAGCAGGCCTCACGACCTCAGGACTCTTCCCTGCCTCCCGCCTCTTAGTAGTGCAGATTGCTGCCTCCGTATTCTTTACATGCGGATCTCTCTGTGGTGGTCTCAGAATTCCTTGTAAAGGTGTCATTTTTAAATGTTAGAGTAGATACATTAATCTTGCATTCTTTTTTATTACTGTTTTTGCAAAAATGGTTTTGCCTTTTGTAACGAAAGGAGCCTGTGTGTGTCTGGCTCTGGTTCTCCAGCTTAAAGTATTCTTGGCCTCCCTCCCTCTGCACCTGCACTTCTTTTGAGGAGAAGAGAGAAATTCTCTAACACCAAGGCAGAAGTTTCCCTACTTGTAACATCTGTTTCCCAGGAGCTGATACTGGAACCACAGAGAAGTCATTTCCTTGCTGCCTTAGCAAGACCCATCAGCTGTTAAAGGATAGCTCTTCCAGCTCTCGGAGTCCAGCAGTCTGGTAGTGTCCATCGAACCAGGACCTGGAACAACACAGCACCCCTTCAGGGAGCAGGGCCACATCCGGCCCTTGATGAAGAGCAAGTGTCTGAATATTAAAAGCCGGAGATTTCTTGGCTTTTATAGCAGCCCTAGCAAATTTCCCCCACCCCCATTCATTCTGTTAAAACACCAGTCATCTATGGTATTCTCTCTGGTATCTTAGCATAAAAGGAAATGAGGCATTACTTTCTGTAGAGGACTTACTGGCCACTAGCCGTCTTACATCTGCAGTTGGAATTCATCCCTTTGTCTTTTCAGCTTTCATTGTTTGACAAATAACTTGGAATTTTGAAACTCTGGGGCTGGCTAAAGCCCTTTCTTTTAAAATTCTGAACTTATTAGACAGTAGTCTATATTGCCATACTTGTGATAATGATGATGTTGGCTAAATTTTTGTTCACATTATCAGAATTTTTTAAAATTTTAGAAATTTAGTGTGAAATTGCTGCCAGGCCATTTTCCCCTCCACACTTCGGTCACTTGGGTTTTACTTCTATTTTATCTGCTGAAATGATCTTTGCTGAAGAGAATAGCTAACTATCTTGGATTTTCTTCTTTACTTCTTGAGTTCTCTGAATGGCACAATTGCTCTTTCTAGGATCTGGTTCTATTTCTCTTTAAGCTGTGTACTTCCAAATTTGCCAGATTTAAACCCAGATGAGCATGATACTTTTGACATTTTGCTTTCTAAGGCATAAACTTGAAACAGTGCAAGGTGTTGTGCCTTCACGGGATGATGCAAAAAGCAAACATGTCTTTGTATTTGGCAGCCCATCTGTCTGCTCAGTCAGGTGTCGTCTCTGCTTCCTTTGCCCAGTTCCATGGTTACCTTGATTCCACCTGTCCTTCTTTCTGATTTGGTCCGTTGACTTCCACTATAACATCTTACATTGTTGAATTTGCACATAGATATTTGTTTCCTTGAACAGTTAGAAAGATTTGCTGCCTTTTTTTAGAATCTGTCTCGGTAGGGCAGTAGATTCCATGGATGTCATAATCTATTGTTACCCCATCCCACCAAGTGTTGGTGATTTTCATGAGACTAGTTACCTAGACTCCTTTTTTTAACTACTGATTTTTAAGTATAGTGCCTAGCATTCTAATGTTCAACAGTAATATATATGATGAATCTCAAGAAGTTATTTGCCTTCTCTTTTAGGCTGTGAGGATATCATTGCTGAGAGCATCTCATTAGATACCTTAATTGCCATCCTCAAGTGGAGTTCTCATCCATATGGCTCTAAGTGGGTCCACCGACAAGCTTTACATTTCCTCTGTGAGGAATTTTCCCAGGTCATGACTTCGGATGTTTTTTATGAAATCAGCAAAGACCATCTGCTTACTGCAATCCAGTCTGACTACCTACAGGTAACCATTTTTGCACCTCTCACATTCATTGTCATTCATGTACACAGCAGGAATCCATCTGTACTTTGTTATTGACTGTTACTGATATGTGCAGCTGAAAATCCATCTGTCCTCTAAAATTCCAATGAGCACAAGGCAGGAGGAAAAAACAGAATATGATCAAACCATCTATGAATGCCCTCTTCATATTTATGCAACGGAAGCCTTGGGGCTCCCTGACCCTCCCTGCACACACTGCTGTCTTGACTCAGCACAGAAAGGCTGAGGCAGTAGGGAAGATCAGGAGCACATTCCCACGTGGTTTTCTTGGTTAATTGTCAGTTCGCTGTTCTCAGTTCCCTTTCCTTTGCTGGAGTCTTAGGCACTCATGTTGCAGACAGCAGCTTAAAGAACACAAAGAATTTTGCATGTGTTCTATCAAGATATAATAATGTCTTCAGGTACTTTCTCACAGATTCTTGTGGTCTTCATTTATGTGTTAATCTAATTTGGTAATTTAACAGATAGTTTTAAATACTGCCAAAAAACTTATAGGATAATTGGTTTTCAAGCTTAGTTTTCTCTTACATTGGCTGCATGAATTCTGTAGTATAAGCTACAGGAATTTAAATAAAAAAATTTTTTTTGACACAAAAACAGAGCACTCACCTGTACTGTTCACTACCCAGGCGCCTGCAGCAGCCGAGGCTGGGAGGGAGCAGTGGGTAGCTCGGAGCAGATCTCCATCTGCTGGCATGGATTCATTGCTTGAGCATCACTGTGGTCTCCCAGGAAGCTGGGGTCAGGGACCAGGGCCAGGTACTCCAATGTGACACAGGCATCTCATCTGCTAGGCTAAGCACCTGCTCCTGTAGAGCATCTTAGAGACTACAGAGACGTAAGTCCATCGAGCTGTTTCCCCTCTCCGCACAAGAAGGACGGGGCAGTGAAGAACAAAGGAATCACGTGCGCCCACCGCGGTGCAGACGCTGTCATGCTTGCACCTGTGTTCATGAGCCTGCCTGTTGTCCGCATCAGGGCCAAAGGTTAGGATGTATCCATTCTCTTGGGGATTGTCTTTAGGAGCTTTGCATTCTTGCTTATAAGGTAGAAACACCTGAAGAACAGCCTAGTTGCTCTAAGATTTTAAGTAAAACACAAAGAAATGCAGGATACTGTGCCATTCCGCAGGTTGTGCAGGCAGTGGCAGACGTTGTGGACATCGTGGGCTCTTGTACCGGAATTAGTCACCAGTCCCATCTTCCTGTCCCTCCAGGAATAGTGGTCGTTCCCTGATTCTGTCCTTTTACCTCCGTTTATTTCTGTCTCATTCCAAAAAGAAGAGCCTAAGGTAACTGTATGGAATCGATGCAGCAAGATAAAATGAACTTATGATTCAAAGAGAACAGGATGCCTAACAAAGATAGAATTAAGAATAGAAGGTGTAGTTGGAGCTAGGAGTGAGGTTACTGCCTAGATACAGGCGATGTGGCGTCGTGTATGTTAGCTTCTGTCTGACCACAGATTTGACTCTGACGTTCTGACAGGCAGTATAAAGAGTAAAACACTGCATTTTCTGTCTACATTAAGGTCTAGAAAAAGTTGTTCATGGAATTACCATTTATCTGCTCTCACTAAATAGCTGTGAACCGTTTTTGATTACAGGCAAGTGAACAAGACATCCTTAAGTATCTGGTGAAGTGGGGAGAGCATCAGTTGATGAGAAGAATAGCGGACAGAGGTAAGCTCAGACCATTCCTTGTGCAGGTGCGCTGTTCTTCAGTCCTGCAGAAAAGACCTTATCCTTTACTAAAGAGAAGGGGTATTGTTTGTTAAAGTAAATATATCAGAAACTTTTGTGGCTTTAAAAAGGAAAATTTTGGGCCTGGCACGGTAGCTAAGGTCCTTGCCTTGAATACACCAGGATCCCATATGAGCACCAGTTCTAATCCTGGCAGCTCCACTTCCCATCCAGCTCCCTGCTTGTGGCCTGGGAAAGCAATCAAGGACAGCCCAAAGCCTTGGGATCCTGCACCCGTGTGGGAGACCTGGAAGAAGTTCCTGGCTCCTGGCTTTGGATCAGCACAGCACCGGCTGTTGTGCTCACTTGGGGAGTGAATCATCAGACGGAAGATCATCTTCTCTGTCTCTCCTCCTCTCTGTATATCTGACTTTGTAATAAAAATAAATAAATCTTTAAAAAAATAAATAAAAAGGAAAATTTTAATGTTACTTTTTTGTGCTTAATAATCTATGTTGGCTAAATCAAGAAAGTGTTCCAATGGAAATTTTCATGTAATGATTAAAATGTTATAAAAACATCTTGTTGACAAAAATGTCCCGAGTAGTGGTTGGAGTTGATAGTCACATTGAAGTATCTACTAATAGCCCCTGATATGGTTGAAATGATGAATCTAGTATTAAGTGAGTATTACTTCAGTTGTTAACACACGCCTGGAAAAGCACATTGTGTTTCACACGTTTTATGGGATGAAAGAATGCTTTTGGTGACCTCCACCTGGCTCGCTGCAGCGGCGGCAGTAGCGTCATACCACACCCAGGAAGTCAGATTCTCAGTCGGCAGCCTTTCCTTGGATCTAGGGTCAGCCCACCCTCCTGCCCTCTTTCCCTCGTTGGTACTGAACCCAAATCACAAACTTCTGATAAAGTAATTAAGTGCAATTTCCATTTCTGACTTTTCACAGTAGCTTTATTTAGATGGAATTTATATACCATTAAGTTCACCTGTCTAAAATATTCAACTCAATTTTTTTAAAGATTTATTTATTTTTCGGGCCTGGCGTGATGGCGTTATGGTTAAAGTCCTCACCTTGCATGCACCAGGATCCCATATGGGTGCTGGTTCTAATGCCAACAGCCCTGCTTCCCTTTCAGGGCGGCCCAAAGCCTTGGGACCCTGCACCTGTGTGGGAGACCCAGAGGAAGCTCCTGGCTCCTGGCTTTGGATTGGCTCAGCTCTAGCCGTTGCGGTTACTTGGGAAGTGAACCATTGGATGGAAGATCTTCCTCTCTGTCTCTCCTCCTCTCAGTATATCTGACTTTCCAATAAAAATAAATAAATCTTTTAAGAAATTATTTTTATTGTAAAGTCAGATTCACAGAAAGAAGAGACAGAGAGGAAGATCTTCTATGCACTGGTCACTCCCCAAGTGGCTGCAACAGCCGGAGCTGAGCCGATCTAAAGTCAGGAACCTGGAGCCTCTTCCAGGTCTCCCATAGGGTATAGTGTCCCAAGTCCTTGGCCCGCATTTGACTGCTTTCCCAGGCCATAAGCAGGGAGCTGGATCAGAAGTAGAGCATTTGGGACACGAACTGGTGCCCATATGGGATGCTGGTATCACAGGGTGGTTTCTATTAAAAAGGTTTCTATTAAAAAGAAAAAAAAAGGGAAGAACCGGACACTTTTTTATTTGTCAGTCACCTTCATGTACAAGGGTTTCTCTCTTAGACAATGTGTCACATGAAAGCAGGATGCCACTACTATAAGAAAAAGTTTTTTTTTTTTTAGAAAGGTAATGCCTTATATATGTATTAAGCCAAATTGCAGCCAGACAACATTTAAGACTTTTCTTAAAGTCTTAACACTGGAGTGTGCATTAGTTTGTGTTGCTTGGACACCTAGTAATGTTTTTAAATTGCTGTTTAACTTGAGGTAGTCTAATAAACCTGTTGATAAACTGCAGCTACCAAAAAATAGCATATGCCTTGCCATGACCTTTTGTACTAGAAACTGTTATAAAAGAAAGAAAACTTTAGAGCCCTTGATCAAATTAGATTTTAATTTATCTTCTCTCCTTTGAGTTAACATCCAGAAAAGAATCTTTTGTTCTTCGGTGCAAAACAATCAGAAAAGAGTGTCATTGTATTGTTGACCCAATGCTGTTCCTCTGTCAAGAACATCTCTATTAAATACAGTTCTGATGACTGAAGAATAGCTGGTGTACTTGCGTGTGAAGTGCTGAGCTTGTATGTGCCGGGAAGAAAACAGGCTCTTCTCTGAGAATCCAAACTTGATTAGATTCTTTCATTCTCTTTGTCTTAGAGCCAAATCTACTGAGTGGCACTGCCCATAGTGTGAACAAAAGAGGTGTGAAGAGGCGAGACCTGGACATTGAGGAGCTGCGAGAGATCCTGTCTGCTCTCTTACCTTTTGTGCGGATTGAGCATATCTTACCTATAAACAGTGAAGTCTTAAGTGATGCAGTAAGTGTCTTTATTGCTTCCACAAAAACGCCGGTCTTGTTTCTTCTTTCGGGCACTGTAAATACTTTGTACTAGTGGAAGTATTGCAAAGCTGAAAGTTCCTTGAGTCAGAAACAGATGTGTGCTACATACGATACCGTGTCCCTGCTGTTTGTCACAGTGTACAGATAAATGGGAAGAGGAGGAGAGGGCGTTGAGTGAGTAAATAGGCCTGAGTTTTGTGCAAACAGCATTTCTAGGGGAGTGAATGCAGCTGTTTAGACCATTGGAGACTCTTCAGGAAGGCAGAATCAGACAGCAGAATTTTGTATTGGTCCAGTATTATAGCAAGATGTGGGTCTTCTGGTTGGATGGAAATTGAAAAACTAATTTTTAATTGGTTGAATTAATGCATGGGAAAAGTAAATACAAGATAACTTTTATAACATTTTTGTGCAATTAAAAAAAAAAACCTGCTGTGATGACTCTGCCACTGCACCAGCCTCGCTGTGAACTGTTGATGTCTCGGCCCAGCACAGTGGCTCAGTCAGCTAAAACCTCACTTTATAAGCACCAGGTTTCCTTGTGGGTGCCAGCTCATGTCTTAGCTGCTTCACTTCCCATCCAGCTTATGTCTTTGGAAAGTAGTAGAGAACAGCCTAAAGCGTCAGGTCCCTACACTCCTGTGGGAAATCCAGAAAAAGCTCCAGGCTGCTGGCTTCAGATCGTCTCAGCTCTGGCCATTGCAGCCATTTGTGGAGTGAGCCAGTGGATGGAAAGTATTTCTCTGTCTTCTTTTCTCCATAAATCTGATCTATCTTTCCAATAAAAATAAATTAAACTTTAAGGGGCAGGCACTGTTATCCCATTCAGGCACTGGTTCACATCCTGCTGTTCCACTTCCCATCCAGCTTCCTGCATGTGGCCTGGGAGAGCAGTGGAGGACGACCGAAAGCCTTGGGACCCTGCCACCCACATTGGAGACCAGAGAGAAACTCCTGGCTCCTGGCTTATGATCGGCTCAACTTGGGCCATTGCAAGCACTTGGGTAGTGAACCAGCAGGCAAAAGTCTTTTTCTTTCTCTCTCTCTCTCCTTCTCTCTGTAAATCTGCCTTTCCAGTAAAAATAAATAAATATTTTTAAGAAATAAAATAAATCTTTAAAAATATTAATTGATGTCTATATTTATCTTAATAGATTTCTTTAAATACAAGAAATATTTTTATTTGTATATCAGAGATTCTAAGAAATGAGTTAACAGAATTGATGTTGAGACAAAATCCTTTTGGGGGGCTGACAAAATGACTCAGTTGGTTAATCCTCCACCTCAAAAGTGCCAGCCTTCCATATGGGTGCAGTTCATGTCCCAGCTGCTCTACTTCCCGTCCAGCATCCTGTTTGTAGCCTGCAAAAGCAATGGAGAATGGCCCAAAGCCTTGGGACCCTTTACCACATGGGAGACCTGGAAAAAGCCCCTGCTTTTTGGATCAGCTCAGCTCCTGCTGTTGATGTTATTTGAGGAGTGAAACAAAGGATGAAAGATTTTTGACTCTGTTTCTCCTCTCCCTGTAAATCTGCCTGCCAATAAAAATAGATAAATGTAAAAAAAACAAGACATAAGTCATTTTGATGGAGTCCTGCCCACAGTGTAGTAGGTTGGGCCTCCACCTGTGGTTAGCACATCCCATGTGATCTCTGGTTCGAGTCAGACTGCCTGCTGTCGTACCTGGGTAAGGGGCAGAGATGGCCGGAGTCATTAGGCCTTTGTACCCATGTGCAAGACCCAGAAGAAACTCCTGGCTCCTGGCTTCAGGCAGGTACAGCTCTAGTTGTTATGACCATTTTGGGAGTGAAGCAGCGGTTGGAAGATCTCTGTGTTTCTCCTGTCTTTGTAGATCTGCCCTTCACATAAAAAAATAAATCTTCAAAAAGACAAATCATTTTGAAAAACTCTTAATGAATCGTTGCTCTGTTTTGTACAACCTCCCCTCAGATTGTGGATATCATCTCGGGTTATGTTCCCGACTGATACCTTAGTGATATTGTAATGCCACATAGATCTCTCATTTCTTTGTTTTCAGCCCATGTGGGTACAGAGTCCCAAGGCTTTGGGCCATCTACCATGCCCCTATGCCTCTCCCCCCACAGGCAGGGAGCTGGGTGGGAAATGGAGCAGTCGGAACAGAAACCGGCACCCAAATGGCATCCTGGCACTTGCAAGGGGAGGATTAGCCAATTGAGCCACCATGCCAGGCTCAATCTCTAGTTTCTTAGTGGTGTCATAATACCACATGAATCTCTACTTTATCTAACAAGACTTTTTGTTTTGTTTTGTTTTAAGATGAAAAGAGGCTTGATTAGTACTCCTCCCTCGGATATGCTTCCTACAACTGAAGGTGGAAAATCAAATGCCTGGTTACGGCAAAAAAATGCTGGCATCTATGTCCGTCCCCGGCTGTTCTCGCCCTACGTGGAAGAGGCAAAGGTGAAAAGCCATGTGAACATCCTAAATGATATTAAACTACACACAGAGCTGTTGATTGTGGTGTCATGTCAGAGCTTGCAGTTAGCTTAAATATCTAGGAACTGGGAAAATGAACGCTGCGTCCTAGTTTGCTCAACAGAATGGCTCCCTGAATGTTTGTCAAGCATGTTTTTAAACTTCGGTCACGTGGAATTGCACTTTAGGTTTTTCTCATTTTGATTGCTTTTCAAATTGCTATTGTTTTACTGAGCATTTTGTGATCTTGAGGAAAAGGAATGTTCTGGAGGAACACTGCACTCATTTTTTATCTTCCTTCATAAAAAAAAAGCCATGAGCCTTTGTAACATCTGTAACAGCGGAGTGTTGGGAATTGTGCATTGTGCAAATTAGGACAAATGGACAAAATGAGTTTCAGGCACATTAAATAAATAGTTGGCATTGTGAATACTGTAATATGAAAAATAGTCCTAGGAATGTGGTAATAGAAAATTGAAACTATAATTTCTATAGATGTAGCTGGTTGTAAGAACTTTGGGGTGGTCTTTTGAAAAATTGATAATCTTTGAAAGTGTAAGCTTTCTAAAATAAATTTTAGAAGGGAAAATGTTGTGTTCCCTTCTAAAAATTAAAGAAAAAGGAATACTATTTCCTTCTAATATTATTTTGAACTCCCATTAAGAATTAAGTTGTCCTGAAATGCCACAGTTTTATTTCCAGAATTCCTAGTTGAAGATATATGGAAGAATTTGAGGTTTTACCAAGTTGGAAACCTGTTTTTGGGAAGTTGACATTTTAGATAGTCCCTAGATGTAATAGCAGGGTGGCTGGGTCTGATCTTTCTTCAGTGAGTGCTGTAGCGCAGTCCGCACTGCGAGGCCCTTCCAAAGGCTGTGTCTAGCTTGAGCTAGATCTGCCTGCAAGCCGGGGTCCCAGAGCTTGTCCAGCCATCACACAGGACTTCTGGGCCCATGCCTGAGGTCAGCATCTCTAGGACACGAGCTCTTCTCAGCTATTCTGCAGTTTGGTGAGGAGAATCATCTGAGTTAAGTTAGCTTTGAAACTGGGTTAATTTACAACAAGTCTGCTAACTTAACATCTTTGAATGTGTGTATTTTTATCCTTCTTTGTTGGATCTGATATTTAGCACATGTATTAGTGTGAATTGTTTTCCTTGTGACTGTGCATTGTTGGTTTCTGATGAGTTTCATCTTTTTATTTTCAAGTTCTAAATACTTCTCATTAAATGCTAACTTTTGAGAAGATGGGATTTTTAAAGATACTCTAAAAGGAACCTTTAAAAATTAAAGAAATAGGGATACTATTTCCTTTTAGTACTATTTTGAACGCCAAAAACTAGAAATAGTAAATTAATTCTCTTTTTATGTGGAGACAGTAAGCATCTTTTTCCAGATGTGGTTTACCATGGGTGAAAGGCTGATTGGGTCTGTTAACTCACTGTTTCAGTCGGTGCTGGACGAGATGATGGTGGAGCAGACAGATCTGGTGCGTCTGCGGATGGTTAGAATGTCCAACGTGCCGGACACGCTGTACATGGTCAGTAACGCTGTGCCGCAGTGCTGTCACGTGGTCAGCCACCAGCAGGTCAGCAGCAGCCAAGCCAGTCCCCCGTCAGTGGTGGCCAACGACATTCCAGGTGTGCATTGAAATGACTAACCTTACTGGTTTTTATAATTGCCTTAAATGTGCCAGATTGTCACCTTTCAGATGCATGGTCGTTACTAAGGAATGAACGTGGTTTTTCACAGGGCCTAAGATTTATCAACTTTGGCCTTGTTGAAAAGCTAAAAGCTGAATAATTCTTTCTCTTGTGAAATTTTTATTTGTTTGTTTTACTTGGAAGGCAGAGAGAGAAAATCTGCTGAATCACCCCCACAAGTGCCCACAACAGCCATCGCTGGGCCAGGCCAGGGCCAGAATCCCAGCACTCCGTCAGGGTCCCCTGTGGTGGCAAGGACCCAAGTACTTGAGCTGCCACCTGCTGCCTCTGAGGATTCCATGAGCAAGAAGCTGGGATGGAGAAGCAAAGATTCCAGCCTAGCACTCCATGTGGGCATCCCCTGCACTGACCTGTCGTTGTGCAAGGTCAAGTGGGAGAGGGTGGCCTAAAGCCTGTGTCACCGCTGTGCCCGACGCCCACCCTCTGTTTTTGCTTGCACTTATTTATTTAAGAGACTTGTTGAGGCAGAGCTCTCCCGTGCAGATTTCCTCCCCAGTCCACACAGCTGAGGAGCAGGCCCAGGAATTCGGTCCCCATCCCCTCATGGTTAGCAGGAGCCCAGTTACTCAGGCTGTCCCCACTGCCCCTCGTGCCCTGGACTAGCGGGAGGAGTGGGAGTCCAGCCCAGGCGCTTGGTGTGTGCGCATCATGTTGGTGGAGCAGAAGCCTTCCCTGTGGAACAGCTTTTTGGAAACTTTTTTTTTTTTTTTAATTTCTGTACACTTCCAGATGTGCTTTTGGGGCAAGTCCATCCCTATAGAGGACCGCTGGCTTAGAGGAATTCAGATTTTTCATCTCATTGAACACACTGTCCAGGTTACGTGGATCTCTGCTTCTGAGGCTGCCTGTGTTCCCCCAAAATGTGACCAGCACTGGTTTCCAGGACAGTCAGGTCCACAAAATCTGTTCTGGAAAGTTTATCATGGTCCCAGCTTATGTCTTAGGACTTTTGGGTAATTGCTTACAGGTAGTCTTCATTGTCACATCCAGAAATACCTGAGCATCAGTTAATCATTATTTTACCCCAAGAATTCGTTGTCAGTTTCTAAAGAAAAACGAGATTGGATGGTCTGAGCTCTGTACCTTTTGACAAGTACTGTTGGAAAATACAAAAGAAAAAGCAGCAAGCACTGCAAATAGTATCAATCATTTCGTATCTATTTAAGGAGCCACCACTATATAGCATAGCATGTTAAGCCAAGACCAACAGCATTCCTTATAGCACAGGTTCTAGTCCTGGCTTCTGATCCACTCCCCTGCTAATGCATCTGAGAAAGCAGTGAGGTGTAGTCCAAGGGGCTTGGCATGATGGCTCAGTGGCTAAAATCCTCGCCTTGCAGGTGCTGAGATCATATGTGGGCACTGGTTCGTGTCCAGCTGCTCCTCTTCCCATCCAGCTCCCTGCTTGTGGCCTGGGAAAGTGGTAGAGGTTGGCCCAAAGCCTTGGGACTCTGTGCCTGCCTGGGAGACCCAGAAGAAGCTCCTGGCTCCTGCCTTCTGGCTCTGGTCTAGCCCAGCTCTGCCTCCTGTTTCTGGTCTAGCCCAGCTCTGGCTCCTGCCTCCTGGCTCTAGTAGCCCAGCCCTGGCTCCTGGCTCCTGGCTCTGGTCTAGCCCTGGCTTCTGGCTCCTGGCTGTGGTCTAGCCCAGCTTTGGCTCCTGCCTCCTGCCTCCTGGCTCCTGGCTCTGGTCTAGCCCTGGCTTCTGGCTCCTGGCTGTGGTCTAGCCCAGCTTTGGCTCCTGCCTCCTGCCTCCTGGCTCCTGGCTCTGGTCTAGCCCTGGCTTCTGGCTCCTGGCTGTGGTCTAGCCCTGGCTTCTGGCTCTGGTCTAGCCCAGCCCCAGCTGTTACCACATTGGAGGCATCTTTGCTTTCCTGGCTTTGCTCTCCGACACCTAGTCAGACTTGACTTCCTAGTCCAGGCTCTAACCTGTCACCGCCTGCACAGGTGACCACCTCGGTGGACAGGAGAGAATTTAGATTCCTTGTGTGTCATCTACCCCTGCCTCCATCTGTAGCGTCTTCCCAGAACACTGTCTGCTTGGAGCTGTCACACAGCTCGGGTCTCCTGCCCGTGTTGGCTGGTTGGCATGTCACCTCTCCCTTGTAAGTCTCACATATTACCTGATTCTCCTTCTTCAAGATTGGGAGATTGGGCTGGCTGAGTTTATTTCCCAGGGAAGCCCTTCTGATCTGCTCTGTGATAAGAGGACACCCCTCCCTCCAGCTCCTGCAGGAGCCTTTATATTTTTCTCCATTCACCTGTTCATCATCGCACTGTCCTTGTATGCATCACTAAAGCCAGGGCTGTTTTTCGTTTGTTTGTTGATACTTAATTTGAAAGGCCAGGGGAGAAGTCAAGGGAGATATCTTCCATCTGTTAGTTCTTCCGTAAGATGGCCACAGCAGTCAGAGCTGGGCCAGGCCTAAACCAGGATCACAGAACTCCAACTCGGTTTTCCTCTCAAATGACAAGGAACCAGGCACTTTGGCCATCTTCTGCTTTCCCAGACACATTAGAAGGGCTCTAAATTGGAGGCACAGCAGCCAGGACTTGTGCTAGCACTCAGGCGTGGGATACCAGCCTTGCAGGCAGCAGCTTAACCCACTGTGCTACAGTGCTGACCCCAGTCCACATCTCCTTGAGGTCAGGGGTCATGTTTTTCATTCTGTACACTCTAACACCCAAATCCATTCCTGATGCATGGTGAAGACCCAAAAATTAGTTGCATAAAATAATGATCTAAAAGACTTAGGAAATACCCTAAAAAAAGAATAGGTACAGGGATATACTCGAACTGTGAACTAAAGAAAGCCCTGGTGGTGGACCTTGGATCATTTGCAGGTCATGCACAAGGGTCAGCTTCAAAAAGTCAAGGCCTGGGCCCGGCATGTTAGCTTAATGGCCAAGTCCTTACCTTGCATCTGCCAGGATACCAAATGACACCAGTTCTAATCCCAGTTCTGATCCACTTCCTATCCAGCTTCCTGCTTGTGGCCTGGGAACACAGTGGAGGACAGCCCAAAGCCTTGGGACCCTGCACCCACGTAGGAAACCTGGAAGAGGCTCCTGGCTTCAGATTGGCTCATCCCCCTGCCATTGTGGCTATTTGGGGAGTGAACCAGTGGATGGAAGATCTTTGTCTCTCCTCTCTATAAAGTGCCTTTCCAAAATAAATAAATAAATTTTTTTAAAAACTAAGAAATGATGGGAATATTCTGGTAGAGAGCACCTGCTTTTTCCTCATGTGTGAGTGGGTGCCTCTTTGTAGAGGAGACAGATTTTACCTACTTACTATCTTGTTCCCTTTAGTTCCTCGTCTGCTCATTATGAAAGACATGGTCAGACGACTGCAGGAACTGCGGCACACCGAGCAGGTGCAGAGGGCCTATGCGCTCAACTGTGGGGAAGGCGCCACCGTCAGCTACGAGATTCAGATCCGAGTACTGAGGGAGTTTGGTCTCGCAGATGCTGCCGCAGAGCTCTTGCAGGTAATATGTGGCTCAGACACATGGGGAGGTGGCCAGGGCCAGCTCTGCAACGCGAACCCATCTTGCTACTTACTGACTGGCTGGCTGATGAAGTTACCCACAGTTAGTGTCAGGTTCCTAGCCTGCAAAGTGGATTGTCACGACTATGCGAGGTGCTGTCTGTAGAGCCACTCTGCCTGTGCCTGCAGGCATACAAATGAAGCCCTCTGAGACGCTCCCGGACGAGCGTGTCGCACAAACATGGCTGTGCCCACTCTGCTGTCATCCCCAGGGTGCCCAAGTGGCCTTGGCCTCCTGCCTGCATGCACGACTTCCAGGTTCCCCCTTGTCCCATGTGTGTACCCCTGGGAAGAAACGCTGCAGACAGCGGTTCAAATCCAAGCATAAACAGATTGGGGGAGGGGGCTCTTGCCTTCTTCATTTTATTTCTAGTAATGATCAGGCATAAATGCAATATCAGTATTACAATTACGATAGAATTTATAAAGTAGTCTGATCACTGAGCAGAGCTGTAAATGAGGTTATCTAGTCTGGGGACCTAGACGCTGTCCTTGCCAGCTGACTCAGGTCCCACCGCCTGTGCCCTTTCCAAGGGGAAGTGTGACTACAGTGTTTTTTTAGCAAGTCAGCAGGTTGTTTTATTTTCATCTATTCCTACAAATACATAATGTGCTCTAATTTTCAACCCTATTCCCTTTGCCATCTTAAGTTGTATCTTAATTTGGTATCTTAAATTACATAAAAATACTTGTTCTTTTGGTGTTTATCGAAATCAATCTAGCAGTCATGCCGTGGGTAAGGAGTAGTGTTTTGTGGTTTGACATGAGACAACATGGATGGATGTTTGTCAGAAAGCTTCTGGGGAGAGTCTGTCTGTTATCTTCTTAGCGAAGATACTCCTGAATTAGGATTTATTGCCTGTTTTTGTGCTGTCTTATCATCTTGCGAGAGCTGACTGGTGGCCAGGGTGTGCAGTTGAGCAGCTGTCCTTGGTAGCCGTGTCCTGAGCTCCCCGGGCTGGACTCTGACTTTGCGCTGTGGTGAAGGTCATTTCCTGTCGGGCTTCTGTCCTTGCAAACTGTGCTGTGCCTTTCCCTCTCGCTGACTCTGTCCTCAGGGGCCTCTCTGGACTCTGCCTGTGAAACCTGCTGCTAGGCTCCTGTTTGTAATCTCTCATAGAATCCTCACAAGTTCTTCCCTGATGAACGCTTTGGCGATGGAAGCCCGCTGCTAACAATGAGACAGCCTGGGAGATGCCGCGTGAACAGCACCCCTGCTGCAGAGACCACGTTTACAGAGCTGGACTCCTTTGTGGCCTTCCATCCCCCCTTGCCGCCTCCCCCGCCTCCGTACCACCCTCCAGCCACCCCAATCCATAATCAACTCAAAGCAGGCTGGAAGCAGAGACCTCCCAGCCAGCAGCCTTCCCGCTCTTTCTCTTACCCGTGCAATCAGTCGCTGTTTCACTCCAGAACAGCTCCTAAAGCTGGCCCACCCCCAGTCTACTTGCCCAGCGTGAAAGCAGCGCCACCTGACTGCACCAACATCACAGGGCTGGGGAGACAGACCATTGCCGCTGCCGCCACTGCTGCTGCCATCACTGCAGGAACATCTGAGAAGCAAGTGGTAAGTGAACACTGGAGTGCCTTGCCTGCAGTGGGAAGTTCAGGGAAGAGTGAAAGTGGTCCCTTGTTACTAAAATTGAAAATGTCAACTTGATGGGTGTGGAGAAAGAAGAAGAAAATCTGGTGGAGGCAAGGAAAGCAAGAGACCCCAGGATGGCGGGACAGCCAAGTGCTGTCCCTGTCAGGGCTCACGGGCCCGGCGTAGCAGTGGGATCCGCAGGCAGAGAAAGCATGCACCTGTTGCAGCATGCTTGGTCTAGCACTCCCGTGGCATCTGCTTTTCATTTCTGTTCTGCAGTTCCATAGAATCCATCCACCAGTACTTGGATGGGACAAGACTGTCAGTGATGGAGAGTGGACACAAGTGGTCCCCGTGCTTGTCTGCCTCCGGGCTGCTCAGCCCTCAGACCCTAGTTTGGGAAGCTCAGTTGCTAGGGCAACATGGAGAGAGAGGCTGCCTTGCCTGAACTTTACCATGAAAACATATAAATCCACAGTAACTTGTGTTCTATATATAGTATATTTGGGAGAAAATTTAAAAACAAAACTGATTTTGTCTTTGTATGCAATCCAGTGCTGTCCACATCTTTCAGCAGATGGAAACCAGAGTTAGAGCTGTGGTTTCAGGGGCATCATTAACGCGTGGCTCAGGGAGAGCCACGGACCAGCAGGCACATGGGGCCCCTTTAACCCTTCCTGCCCTCCTCCTCTCCCCACTACCTCTTCCCAACAGCGGCAAGTGCTACTGTTGAGAACTGGCTAGCTGATGAAGTTACCCACAGTTAGTGTCAGGTTCCTAGCCTGACACTAGCCCAGCTTTGGCTCCTCAATTCTGCTCCCCAGAAGGCAGTTCACACTGTATGTTCGTTGCACTTACATATCCACAGAGGAGGAGACGGTTTAGTAAGTCATAGTGGAATCACCGTGCTGGGTTGCTACATAACAATTTGAAATAGTGACTGAAGAAAATTACATGCACTAAACTTTGTGAAAATTAATAAATGTGCAAAGAAAAAGCGTGAGAGAAGCACCTTCAAACACTGCATAGGAGAGGCTCCAGGGGGATCTGCCTGCTGGTTATCTGTGTTTCTGTAATTCTTGAAAATAATTGTGTGTCACTTCTGCAATCTGAGGACACATAACCAGCAGACATCACTTTTACCAAGGAGAATTTGGGGGCTCTTTTTTTTCCAACCTCTCCTCCCATTGGTTTCTTCAGGGCCCACAGCCTGTGCTAAACGATCTGGTGCCGGACATCGCCATGGGTGTGTCCACGATGTCCCTGAAGGACAGGAGGCTTCCAGAGCTGGCGGTGGACACAGAGTTAAGCCAGTCAGTATCTGAAGCGGGGCCTGGGCCTCCCCAGCATCTTTCATGTATTCCGCAGAGGCATACACACACTTCTCGAAAGAAACACATGCTAGAGCAAAAAACAGAGCTTCGAGAAAATCAGCAGGAATATCCGGATTTCTATGACTTCTCCAGTGCTGCTTGCAGACCTTCAACTCCTGCTCCTAGCAGACGCACCCCTTCCCCTTCGCAAGGTGGATATTTTGGTCCTGATTTGTACAGCCACAATAAGGCATCACCAAGTGGCTTAAAGTCAGCCTGCGTCCCCAGCCAGACCTCTCCTGAAAAGCAGGAGGAAGCTAGGAGAGCGTATCCACTTTCCCCGGACGGGCACCCGCACAGGCAGAAGAATGAGCCAATCCGCCTGGACGTCGTGGAGCAGCCTCCCCCGCGAGCTGACTTTGCTTTGGCGGCCCCGGAAAGCGCTGGTAGCGGTCCAGCCCACGTCAGGGGACGGACCGCAGCAGAAGCTGACTGGACCTTCGGGCTCACGCCCAACAGGCCTTCTTCACATTCGGCATGCAGCTCCGAAGCTCCGGAAGAGAGATCCAGTCGGAGACTGGCAGGCAGTGAGTCCCTGGGTCCTGGAGCACAGAGAGGTGCCGATGTGGAAAGGGAAGATTCGGTCAGCAGAGGAAGGAGGTCACCCAGCAAGCCCGACTTCCTCTACAGGAAATCTGCCCTCTGATGTCCGTGCCTGAGATGGGAAGCACCCACTCTGTGCTGTGGCCCAGCAGCGTGCAGCCCCATCTGTGGGTGCCAGCTGAGGACGAGTGTCCCATCCTTTGATTCTGTTTCCGTGTGTGTGTATGCATTAGACATGGTGTGCTGAGAGGGTTGTGTTGAATGCTGCGTCTGTCTGTTTTTTGTTTGAGCGATTGTGTGGGGAAGCGTTTTTAGGAACAAGCAAGCAAGCTGGCACTTTTTTTTTCTTCTTTTCAAAATGATGGAATTTTTTTGCACTTGTACATTTTATGTGTATTGATTTTATATCAGTATGTTAAAATTTATTGCCACATTTAAAGGACTGTATTTTCATACTTTTTTGCATTTTATCTTTCATCTACCAATTTCCATGTGCATTGGGTTGCACACTGAGATGTATTTTCTTATGAAATAGTTCTGTGTTTATTTTTTAATTATAGAAATTCCAAAGAACAGCACATCACAATGTTCTCTTCTCAGCAGTCGTTTTCGTTCCGAGCGCTCCCTGCTCAGTCTTGGTCAATCTAAAGTCATTTTTCTCTTAACACGTCTTGGAAGCTGGTCTTCATTCCTCCACCAGGGGTCCAGTCAGGGCCCTGGAGGGTTCTGGTTCTTAAAGACAAAGGCCCAGATGAAAGCTGTTGCTTCAGCCACAGCGTGGACGCCGTGGGAATCTGCAGATCCTGGTGGTGTGTGTGGGTCAGCGCGTCTGTCGGCGAGGCTCTGCGGGTCCCTGGCAGTGGGGCACTGCCGACGCCACAGCTGCCCTGGGTGGATCTGGCCTTGAGGCCGGACTCCAGCTGCAGCAGGAGAGGCTGCCTGCTGCCTTCACTTGTGTTGCTCTCTGTGGCAACACAACAATGCAAAGGGCTTCAGTCTTACGGATGTCATTCGGTGTTTGTAAGCATGTGTCCTGTTTTATATGTTTTCCAAAGTGTGTCTGAATTTTGGTGTCCTATAAAAAGTTGTATGATGCTCTGTCACCAAAAAAAACCAAGTTGACAAACATTTGTTTTCAGTTAAACACGACACGTCCTACTTGAACTCCAGTGGGGATGCTGCTTGCCGTTTACTGAACCACTGAGCACACGTAGGGTCTCCCGAGACCCTCTCCCTCGGAAGGGCGATGTGTACGCTGAGGACTGTTTTTCCTAACACTCCAATGTAAATATGATGGTATTTGAGTTTTTAAGTCACTTCCACATTATTTGAGCATTTACTTTGTAGTTTTCCAGACACATCCACACACAGCTGTAGCACTTAGCAAGAAAGAGCCTTCCAGATGCTGGGGCGCCTCTTTCCTCTGTATGTGTGTGTGTGTATATATATATATATATATATAAACTCAGACTCACACTCACTCTAAAACTATGCAGGGCGAGGGAGCCTTTACAAGCTACAATACAAATTAATTCTGTGCACTTGAAGGAAATAATTTCTATTGGGTGTCACCAACTCTTAATTTCTCCTGAAACTGTAGCTTCTCTTCCGGTTTTTCCCACTTTACCCTGTGGATACACACTCAGGAATAATCTGGCATTTTAGAAAAGTCTGACAATAGAGGGTCTCAAGGCTGAGAACTTGTTGGCCTGCCTGCCGCCACGTGCTCCGCCGCCTGCCTCGCCAGCTGCTGCCCGTGCACCTGTGGGCATTGGTCAGCTCACATCCCAAGCTGCCACGAGGTGGGCTGTGCCGTCGCCTGTCGAGCTCCTCTTAGGAAAGATAGACAAACGTAGGACTCTGTTCTCGGGCAGGAGAGGTTTAACTTGGGTAGATGACCATGCCTCTGCCAGCCTTCTGAAACACAAGTTGATTCCGTTGTGTTGCTTTGTGTGTATCTGTGCTTGTGTTGACATGAATTGTTACGATGGTTTTTGCCTGTTCTTCTGACTCAGATTGTCCTGTACTGGTTGTGTACAAGAGGAGCAGGTGGAATTTGGGCCATAACCCTTCTCTCCTGTGCCCTGCTCCGGTTTTGTTTTGGTTTTATTTCCACACGTTACACAAGATCTGTTGAGTATCACACATTCGCTTTTACGAAAATTCCTTAAATATTCCTTCACGTCCCCCAAATTTATGAATTTTGGCAACTGTTTATAATATTACTTAGTTTGTGAAGTTCCCATTTAATAAGTTGCTTACCTGACTAGCCTGTGTATAGAGGGGAAATTCACCCTGGTCTGTGGGGTTGTGAAGCAGTGTGACTTGCTGAAGGTGAACAGGTGTGGGTGCTGTGTGGGTTAGGGTAGGCCTTAGTGGGCTTGCACCGCGTTTGTGAAGTATCGTGAATAGGGTAAGATGACTGTAGCTCTGTGCCTCTGGCTTGGGGACCCATTTATTGCATCTTTTTAAAATGCTGTGCTGAGACAAATACGAAGTCTGAGTAAGGTTGCTCTCAGAAGAAAATCTAGACTTGTGTATACAACACCACTTAGGCCCCAGGAACTGGCCTTTTACTTGGTATAGAAATATAATAAAAACAAATCACAAAAATCAACCAGATCTCCTTTTGAGGCTGTGGACAATCAGGCCACTGGGACAGCCGCCTCCTCTGGCCAGTGCCCGCCCCTGTGCTGGTGACGACAGCCATTGTCTCCACATCAGCACGCAAAGAAAACAGCCGTGCTGCTTAAAGATGCTGATGGCAATTGCTTGTTTTCTTGTTTCAGTTGTGTGATTTTGATGAGTAAATTTAAGTTCAAAGTCACCTGTGGCTCCTAAGGAGGAAAAAGATAGCAGCAGGAAGAGCGCCTCCCCAGAGGGCGCAGCAGAGGGCGCTGCTGAGCTTCCCCGCGCTGCATCCTCTCTCCCTTGTTGCTTTCGTCCAGGCACACGTGCCTAGACCCGAGCGAGTCTAACCTTTCGGTGGCTTCTCGGGCTTTTGGGGCTTTTAGTCAAGTTTTAAAGTATTCAACTGTCTTTGTAGAAAACACATTGAAACTTCATCCATTTCTTGTTTTTGCTTCTGGCTGCACTTGGGTTTCTTTCAGCCCTGCTGCTCAGGTTCTAGCAGTGGGCCCGGGACAGGCCGCCTCGCCCTTCCTCCTTCCCCACAGCGAGCTGTGCAGGGGACTCAGAACCCGCCTCCAGGCCAGGGTCCTGGGTCACTGCTCAAAACCACACACGTTTCCTTCCTGGCCATTAGCTGCTGGTAAGATGCTGTCTTAGCGGCTGTTCTTTTGGGACTGGGTTCGGAGGGCAGCCCCTGCTGCCCCTGGGTCAAGGGGTCAGCTGACTTTGGTGTCTGCAGCAGCGCTGGGTGCTACTCCCGGGCCTGCGGCCATTCACTCTGTCCACTCGGTGATTGACTTTCAAACCTCATTAGAGATAATCTTACTGACAGTCACCAGGCACACCGCTCACGGGAATTTTACTGTTCCTCTTCTTCATGAGCCCTGTTGTATGAACAGTGTTTTATGAAATAAGTTGTCTTTGTCCTAGCACTTGCAATAACTCTTAGTGTTGTTACCACCTGGGCAAGTCTTGGATATACTTTTGGCCTCTAGAAAAAAGTCTCGGACAACATGTGGCCCTTCCATCTTCTGAACATGATAACGCTGTGGTTGTTTCTGTAGAAAGATTACTTGCAAGTGTCCGTCTCTTGAAAATACCCTTGTGTTTGTGTGTTTATGTGGGTTCTGAGACCATATAAGCTCTGGAAGTTTCGTGCACACCTGCAGGCAGCCATGCATCTGGGTTACCTGGGCGGGTCGTACGGAGCCCTTCTGGCCGTCGGTGGCTCACGGGTGCAGGTTCCTGCTGTGTGCGTGCCACTTGCATCCTGAACAGAGGGGGTCTTCTGCCACGCGGCGTTTCTTGTGGTTGTGCTGTTACTGGTATAAGTCAAGTGCCTTCGATGCTAAAGGCTCAGAATTTTTTCTTAAACTGATTTCATGTCCTATGCAAGTGTTTTCTACAACCTGCATAACCAGTACTTTGTAAAACTTGTTTACGCTTCAATTGTACATAATGTTTTTTAAAGAAATATATAGTATTTTTATTTAGGTACCTCCAAACTTGAATTGGTCTGTGTGAAGCATTGTAAAATGATACATTTCTCTTTTGAGTACCGTTACAGTTGTGCAGAGGTTTTCACTGGTTCTATTTTTCTACTGTTACTGAGACGCATGTAACACTAACTTTATCCTAATAGAGTTGGCATTTCCAATAAATGGCTTGTATAGAATCTGCTGAGTGGGACGCGTTCTGTTGCACAGTACAATGCATAGTGTTCAACTCCGTGCGTGCTGCTGCCCCTCGAGGGTGGAGTTGGGAGTTTTCCAAACAGAACTCCTGAGTGTTCCTGGGATCTGTTATTCCAGGCATTTGTTACTGGTACTATTTTCATGGTTTTCATGACAATTGAATGTTTTACTCTGAATCGTCAAGTTTGCTGTTTTCTGTTATTTGGGAATTTCTGAGAGATCTCATTTTACGAGTGTATGGGCGTCTCCAGGGGCAGTTCAGCCTTTGATCCCGTACAGCAGGCCCGGGAACGGGCAGGGCTGGCAGCAGCCCCTGGGAGTCATGGCACGCCCTGCTGGTCCCGGAGCTCCACGCAGCAGGAGGCCCCGAGCTCTCAGGTTTGTCAATGTGTTTCAGTTTAAAAGGGAAATGGAGCCATGGTCTAGAGTCGAAGGTCCAGATATAAAAGGCAGATTACCAAATTGGTCATTTCCTTGTAAACATTGCTATAGGATGGCAGCGCCTTAAGAGTTTAGCTCATCTCACCAGCAAGACCTCACCTGGCGTTTCACCCTTCACCGGGCCCTTTATATCTTGTGACTATCTAAAGGTATCCAGATAAATAAGGTTTTGGGGTGAGCTTTTTACAGATCTGAGGCAGAGCAGGTGGCTGGCCCACAATCCACACCACGGGTGTTTGTGAACTCCAGCTCCTGCTCATGTGGACCCTGGAGGCCGGGGTGCTGGCGTCCAGTGAACCAGCGCAAGGGAGATCTCTGCCTCAGATTTAAACAAAGACGTTCAATGCTAAGCATTTGATGTTTTTTCTTTATCCTTCAATGAGTCATGTACTGTTCTGTGAATTGAGTACTACTGGTGTTATTTTCCAAAAAAAGAAAACTGAAGCAAAAAAGTTACAATGACCTTGCCCAAGTCAGTTGTCAGAACTTGGACAGAAGGCCGGGTGGTCTGGCTTCACACCCCAAGTTCTTGACCATCACAATGTGCTATGCACCAGCAAGGACAGTGGCCCAGGCAGGGGACCGTGGCACGCAGGGGGGTGGAAGCAGGTCCCACGTGACATCCATTTGTTCAGCATGCAAACAGACCTTTATGCTATCACCAGCCAGAGACTGCCAGATGCTGAGCAGCAGCAGTAAATGCCGGGGATGGGGAGGATTCCCTGTGGTGACAGGTGATGGGGGAGCTGAGTGACGGTGACATGGCTGGCTGACACCCAGGGGCCTTCAGTGGCCCAGCTCAGCGTTTCCAGGTTGACCCTGACTGGAAAACCAAGGCCACCGCAAGGTTTCAGCAGGGCCTTAATGAACCACAGGCTTAGAGTCATCCTGGCAGGCCTGTGAGGCGGGGAGAGCTGACCTCTCTCTCATTGCTGGCAACGTGATTGCATTAGGAGTAAGAGGGCCCAGAGTTGGCAGTGGAGGTCCTTCACCAACAGCTTTGAGGGTGGCAGGAGGTGAACCCCCCAAGGGGAAGAGGAGGAAGTCCACTAGAGGGAGATGGAGGGCAAGGGCTGCAGCAAAACCAGCAGAGCCTGGGTGCTTCGAAAACCTAGACGGGATTGTTGCACTAGAAGGAGGGAAGGAGCAGGCGTTTGGCACAGCGGGTAAGATGCCAGATGAGATACCCTCATCCTTGTTTGCATCTGTGTTCCTCAGTTCCAACCCCAGCTCCGCTCCCTGCCAATGCCAAACCTGAGGCAGCCAGCAGTGGATCCAGTCCTTGGGTTCCTGAAACCCTCATGGGACATGGGAGACCCGAATGGAGCTCCAGCCTCCTGGCTTCACCTGGCCCAGCCCTGGTTGTTGCGGCTTTTTGGAGTAGACGAAAAGTCGCTGACTTTAAAATGAAAAGAAAGTGACTCCTCATCTGTCTCGCAAACCGCTGCCCCATTGTGTTGGCAGCTCTCGGCCTGCTGCCTGAGGAGACAGAGTCCACAGCACTGTGACGTTGCCATGGTCACACCACCACCATGGGCCCCCGGGCACACCTCCCTGTGGCAGCTGTGTGGCTGCCCAGGCAAAGAAAGACCTGAACATTTATGGACAGGCAGGCCGCTCTTCTTCCCAGTGTCTCAGGGTACCCACAGGCCTGCTTTACCTTTTATGCCATATTTGCAGGGCAAGGAGACCCAAATAGGTCAGTTCTGAACTTTTCAACTTTGGTCCATGGACCTGCTGGCCAGCTGAGTCTAGGAGCCTTGAAACCCAAGACAGAGAGGGAAGCCAGGATGATGGTCCTCCGGGTTGGAGGAGCAAGTGCTGTGGCCCCAGGTGGGAGGAGTCAGGCAGAGCTGCTCAGCAGGTATGGGAGAGCACACGCTGGGAGAAGACCAGAAAACCAGCGTGCGTGGACGCCCGGAGAAAACGCCCAGCCTTTTTCTGTGGGAAAAGCCCTCCGAGCTGAGAACACTGGAGTGTGAGGTCGTGGAGCTGGGAACAGTCTGCACTATGGCCTCGTCTCCTGGTTGCAAGCTTCAGGTGAGGCTCAATGTCTCAATGGTGAAAGGTCTGGGTTGTTTTGTTTTCTCTTTTGCCTTCTAGAATACTGACTTCCTCCTGAGGTTGGCTCCTCTATGGCCCACAGTCAGTGTCCCTGAATCACACAGAGAGCCAGCTAAGCACTGGGGCATTGCCAATAAGAACATGGGGAGATGGACACTTGGACGCAGACACCGACACGTCTCCCGGAGGCCCCCCTGCAGGAATGAGCCTGCTGGCCTCTCAGATCCCTCCCAGAGCATCTCAAAACTAGACAGGATGCAGACTCGTCCAGTGCCCACTGGGCCAAGGGCAGTCGTGAAGGACCAGCAGGAGTTGGTGCTGGCAACAGCTTCAAGGGAGCCGAGGGGGAGGCAGCCTTTCCTGGGCTGCCCCTGCCTCATCCCATCCCACACCCACGGCCCTGATCCTCAGCAGCTGGGTTAACCTACTCCCCAGGACCCTCAGCAGCTGGGCTAGCCTGTTCCCTGGGCCTCTAACCACATGGGGCTGCGCTTTCAACTTCTTCTGCCCCACCGAGGTCCTTGTAAGAGCCAGAGAACCGCGGTCCTCGGGTGCTGATGACAATGGGATTTTCCAGGGCTGAAAGTGAACTGAGGGCAGCCTCCAGCTGTGACCACCACCAAGGAAACAAGGGTCAGAAGCACCCAAAGGGGGGCCTGGATGCCAGCGTTTGGTTTGCCTTCTGAGACCATGTAAGGGAGCGCTGCCTTTTCTCTCGGCTGTGTTTGAGCCCACAGCCCTCTCATTCTGCGCTCCTCTGTGCCTGAACACACCGTGCTTACAGCTAAACCAGCCTGTTGCTTCCTATCCCAACAGTAATTACAGCCCTCCCTCCCGGGGCGGTGGGAAAGCCAGGGAGTAAAGGAGGTGTGCCGGGACTCGGTCGGGTCTGAGAGCAGGCGCCCAGGGCAGAGGGAGCTGGGAGCCTGCCTTCCGGTTATACCCCTTTTCTTAGAGCCTGTGGAGGAAGGCTGCGACGATTTAGATGTGACTAACAACAATCTGAAAGCAACTATTTTGAATTTGGCTTTATTTAAATGTTACAGAAACCTGATTGGAGTTAAGTATGTTATTAAGCCCAGTAACAGTTTCTACAAAAATGCACACATAATGTCAGAATTCCTTAAAAGCGACAAATACCATATTTTTTGTTTTTACATAAAACATGCATTAATTATCAATGCCACATGTTGGCCAAAATCAGTCTCTGTAGGCAGAGACAGTCTGATACAAGTGATAAGAAAACTAGTTATGAAGAGATTTAAAAAAAAGTTTTCCAGCTAATGTAAAAGGAGCAGTACTTTCTGGAAAACAAGCCCTTGGCACTGGGTGACCACTGCTGCCCAGGAATGCTCAAGGCCAGGTCCTGACCTGCCCCAGGACAGAAGGAACTTCCTGAGAGCTGAATCCGACAGGGCCTGGGGTCAGCTTTCAGGGCACCATGGTGCACTAATAGTGCAGCTTTGCAGAACTAGTTCAGAATGTCCTCTGCCTGGGCACTGCCAGGCTGGAACCCTCACCAGACAGCGCTGGCTGGGGCGCTCCCACCACCGGTCATCAGAGGTTGAGCACCTGAAACCATGACTCACCATTTCTAGAAGGTGCTTTTTGCAGGACAAGCTGCCCTTGCTTAGGGACTACTGGATACCCTATCTATGCCTGTGGGACAAAAGGAACATCAACATGCCCACAGGGCCCCAGAGTGGCCTGGTATCAAAAGGCCTTGTTCCTGCAGAGGGATCAACTGCCCAAGCAGATGACCAAGGTCCTGCCACCTAAACCATGTGGCTGCATGGACTTCCTTGGGAGCAAATGGAAGCAGTGCCCACCCCTTCAGCGCGGGCACAGCGCACACACCCCTGCACACGGAGCCTCCACAGGGGGCCCATCACCAGGGAGCCCTGCAGCTTCAGGACACACACAGGCCTGAAACTTGTCCTGTCCCTGTGGCCTGGCCTGGAATCTTCCACAACAGGGCAGTCCTACCCTGCCCACTCACAGTAAACTTTTTCTTCAGCACAGAGAAAAACAATAATTTATTGGGATTCTAATAACATTTTTATAACAGAACAATATCAAAATAGGTCCATTTGTAATATATGCTTATGAATATCCCTGATAATATAAAGAAATCCAGAGGACTTCGTAAATCACCCACCCAGATCTCAAGGGGGACGTCGGTGATTGGCGAGATGGCACAGAGAGCCTGCAATCCCATGGGTGTTCTCTGCAAGTCCCTGAGCACTGCGCTGCTCCAAGCCTCACGTCCCAGGGCCAGGAGACTCGGAAGGGAGATGTCACTGTGACAAACACATGCTTCCTCAACCCGTCACCATCCCATCTCCCTGCTGTGACAGACGTCCGCTCCATCCTGCTGACTCCAGAGGTTGGGCCAAGATGGCTTCTAGGCTGTGACCACAGCTCAGAAAGCAGGGGTGTGGCTGAGGGAGAGACCAGGCCTGAGGAAGCGCTGACCCAAGGCACCGTGACTGCAGGGGTGAGGGGATCTTGAGGGGCTGGCTGACCGGAAGAGCACCTTCCGTGACCCTGAAGGAGGAGAGCCTGGCAGGCGATAGCCCCACAGCCAAGTACAGGCAGTCGGAGTTAAGGAATGAATCGTCACAACAGGAAACCAACTCACTTTCTCATAACCAAATCAAACATCCCACAACTTACAAGCAAGTGACCCTAGGGCTAGGAGGGCTACGGGCACAGGTCTAGGGGCCAAGCTGCAGTTAGTCGAAAAGGAACACTGGTTGGGACATGAGCTTAAACATGGCGGCCCCTGCAGAGGAGGAGGGGATGACAGCAAGGGACCAGACGTGATGGACGCTTCCTTTATTCGGGGAACACAAAGGGCGGTCAGCTGGCCTGCGCGGGACAGCATCGCCGGCATCTAGCTGCAGTAATACTGCATCCCATCCACTCTCCTTCTCTTCTTGGACTGAAATTCCTCAAAGAACTGCTGGATGTCCTCTCTCTTAACAACCTGTGGGAGAAAAGTGCAGTCAGAGCAGGGAGTGGCAATGTCCGAAGAGGCCAAGACACTGTTAATGAAAGCAACACTGCTCCACTGCCAACAGGTCCTGCCGGGAGAAAGCAGCCTCCTGAACACAGGGCACAACCGGGCGGCTGCTTCCCCGCGTGCCTGTGACCGTGGCACCCAGCACCCAGCCCAACACAGAGCTATCTGGAAAAGACCCGTTCAAATGCCAACGTATGGAGTCTCCACTCCAGAGGAAGTTGGGATGCCATCTCTGGGGTTCAGCCCGCAGAATGGCTGGAAGCCCAGGGCCTGCCTCCTTCCTGTTTCCCAAGGCCAAAGGAAAGCCAGCAGCAGCTGCCTGGTATGGAGAGCCTGGCAGGACCCGCTCCCGTGGCAGCGCCCTCGGGCTCTGCCAAAGCCCTTGGGGAACCAAGCCCGTGCCACTTTCAGACTGGAGCTTTCCTCTTCATCAACAGCACAAAATGTTTCAACAAAAACTGAATTTAAAAACCTCCCACTTTGCGTTCAAAATTGAAAACATTTGCTACATAAACAAAACTGAAAAAATACTACAGAAGCACTACTTGTAGTAAATCTACTTTATGCAATAAAAATGAGAATTCTATCCTCAGTTTTGCTGAAAAACTTATTTTTAACATTATAGCAAAGTGTTTATATTAGCAAAATAAAATATTAAAAATAAGAAAAAGTCTTTTTCCCTCCTGCCAGGAGACACCCCATCCCCAGGATCCCGACAGGAGCTGCCTTCCTCTTCCTTCTCTTCTTCACCTGCTCATTTCGCAAATCAAACTTCTTCTCTGTCCACAACCAATTCCCAGCTTTCTACTTCTTTCTTCTCTCTCTTTTTAAAGATTTACTTATTTTTATTGGAAGCCAAATTTACATAGTAGAGAAAGAAAAAGATTTTCCATCAACTGATTCGCTCCCCAAATGACCACAACAGCCAGAGCTGAGTCAATCTGAAGCCAAGAGCCAGGAGCTTCCTCTAGGTCTCCCACACAGCTGCAGGGTCCCAAGGCTTTGGGCCGTCCTCTGCTGCTTTTCCAGGCCACAACAGGGAGCTGGATGGGAAGTGGAGCAGCTAAGACACGAACTGGTGTCCATATGGGATCCCAGGCCTTACAAAGGGAAGATTATCCAATTGAGCCATTGTGCTAAAGCCCCCCAAGCTCCCAACATTCTGTTTGTATACTAAGGTTCAGGAACATTTTCCTTGTGCCTCACATGGGACCAAGGCCACGTGGCTCAATGAAGCCATCCACTAGATGGGCTCTCACATCTTCCAAGATTACCCTCAGACTCCCCTCAGTTGTATGTAGAAATTGGGACCAACTGCACCTCCAGATCCTGAGGACAGAGGCTTGGACCTTCTGCATGGAGGTCTGACTAAAATCCATGGGGGATGAGACGATGGCTGGGTGCGGGTGGGGTAGCGTGGTAGTGCCGGGGCTCACAGAGCCCATCCCGGCGGATGGTGGCCCCACCCTGCACACAGGGGTCAGCCTGGATGCTCCCCAGTTCTGAGGTGAACTTCCAGACTGAAGCTGGACAGGGAAAAGAGCAAGCCTCTCTACTTCGTCATGTCAGGCGGTGAGGGCAGGGGAACTGAGTGTGCAAATTTGTCATAAACCTTTCTCAGGAAATTAAACTAAAAAAAGAGGGCAAGCAGGCAGCATTGCGGCACAGCAGTTTAAGTCATCACCCCCTCCCCGAGCCCCAGGGCGAGCCACAGCAGCTCAAATTCTAACCCAGCTCCCTGCTACTGTGCCCAGGAAGGCAAGAGAGCATGGCCAGGAGTCTGGAGCCCAGCCACCTGCAGGGCAGACTGCAAGGGAGAGGGGGCCTGAAGCTCCTGGCTCCGGCTTTTGTGGCATTTTGGGAAGTAAACCAGCGGTTGCAAGGTCTCTCTCTTTCTCTGTAACTGCCCTCAAAGAAATCAGACAGAGAGAAGGGGGAAGACAGGTGGGAAGGAAAGAGCGAAGGAATAATGAAGGAAAAAGAAGGAAGGAGACAGGGACAGGCATTTGGCCCTGCAGTTTAGATTCCTGGGTCTTCCACATTTTTAAAGATTTATTTATTTTTACTGGAAAGTCAGATTTACAGAGTGAAGGAGAGACAGAAAGATCTTCCATTCACTGGTTCATTCCCCAAGCCTGGACCTTCTCCACTAACACGTCTAATGACTCAGTAGATCGTTTTATTTCAGAGGTCCCTAAGTCTCAAGATCTGGTGTGACAAACAGAACATTTACTGTTTTTGTAGATAATCTTAGACTACAAAGAGAAAAGTTAAATTATGTTTTGTGGCATAGTGGGTTAAGCTGCCACCTACAATGCCAACATGTTACATGGTTGTCAGTTCAAGTCCTACTGGCTCTATTTTTTTTTACCTGGTGCCACTACTTCTGATCCAGCTCCCTGCTAATATGCCTGGGAAAGCAGCAGAGGACGGCTCAAATGCTTGGGCCCCTGCCCACTGTGTGGGAGACCCAAAAGATTCTCCTGGGTTATGCCTAGCTCAGCCCTGGCCATGTGACCATTAGAAGAGAGAACCAACAGACAGAAGATCTTTCTCTCTTTGTCTCTCCTTAATTCTCCCTTTCAAATAAATAAATGTTAATAATAATAAATAAAACAGATTCTATTGTTCAGCCCGCAAAGATAAAGTTCTTTTGTCCTAACCTGTGGCGTGCAGAACCCACCAGCCAGGCCTGCTCTTCCCTGCCCGGCCTCCTGCTCACCCTCCCAGCACGCCCAGGGCTCACTCAGTGGGCCGGCTGCACGGTCACCCTCACGGATTGTCCCCAGCGTTCCCCTCTGTGGACTAGCAGCCCTCAGTCCTATGGCGCGGCTCTCTGCCTTTCTGTTCTGACCCAGGTTGGGAAAGATGCCCTAGGAGACCACTGATTTCTCTTCTGCCAAAACTGCTACAAGTCATTTCTGCAGTATTCTCAAATACTACAATTCAGTTAAACCTTCTTAAACTATCACAAAAAATAAGCAGCTTATGCAAAACTTACACTGCTATGATTACAATTCTTTAACTCAGGGCAGGCACTCAGTTAAAAGGCCCAATCAAGCACTGCTGAGTACAATTGAGTACAGCCGAGCACAGCAGAGCACAGCCGAGCTCAACCAAGCAGGCATGCAGGGCTGTGTCAGAATCCCCTAGTTCAGTATCAACTCCGGCTCCTGACACCAGCTTCTGGCCAATGCAGATCCTGGAGGGCGCAGTGACGGCTTAAGTGACCGGGTTCCTGCCACCCACACAGGAGACCTGAACTCAACTCTCAGCTTTAGGCTCTGGCCCTCAGCCCAGGCCCGCTCTCCTGGGCATCTGTGACAGCTTTAGTCTCTGGCCTTAGCCCAGGCCCGCTCTCCTGGGCATCTGTGACAGCTTTAGGCTCTGGCCTCAGCCCAGGCCCGCTCTCCTGGGCATCTGTGAACAACCAGATGGGAGTACTTGCTTTTGTGCTCCGTCTATTTAAAATTAATGAACTGAAGGGAGGGCACTGTGGCATAGTAAGTTAATCTGCTGACTGTGACCTCCACATCCCATTTCCGATCCAACACTGAAGCAACTGACTCAAGTCCTGGCTGCTTGACTTCCGATCCAGTTTCCTGCTCACACACTCCTAGGAGAGAACAGACAATGGCTCAAATGCCACCCACGGGAGACCCAGAGAAATCCTGGCTCCTGGATTCAGCCTGGCCGAGTCCTAGCTGTCGCAGACATTTGGGCATTTGGGCGTGGACTGTGGGTGGAAGACGCCTGTCTATGTGTATTTGAGAGGAAGAAAGGAGAGGAAAGAGAGATGCTCTATCTTTAAAGTGGAAGAAAATCAACGTTTTTTTTTTTCAAAACATTAAAAAAAATAAAATTTTTTAGCTCAACATACCGTGCCTTCATCAGCAAATCTCTTGAGATAGTCCTTAAGCTCGCTCTTCAAGTCGTTGTATTCTAAAACAAAACCACATGTGTATTTAGTATTTAAAAACTGAGACAACTCCTTTGCTTCTAAAGACCAACTATTTCCCCGCCACTGACATCTACGAGCATGGAACGCACTGTCAGGCAAAGCTGCACAAAACACGTCCCAGTTACTTACGCTCCTCTGAGCAGCCTTCATTTGGACTTCCGGGATCTTTTTTCTTCAAGCAAACAAAGAAACCCACAGAAAACACAACTATCCCTCACTCACTTAAATACTAGCGAAGATTTTTGTTGAAAGTTTCCTATTTCTATGCAATCTTAGCACTTGTAAAGGCCCTGGACCCACGGAATGTCAGCTGCGCAGTGTGTTAGGGAAGGCGTTTCTGAACACTACTTCCGGATGCACTCTCAAAGAGCTTTTACTCTAATAAATCAAAAAATTAATCAAAGTAACAAAAGAAATGGTCAGTGCCATTAAGAGGACAGGAATACAGTGGTGTCTGGGTGGAGAGCAGCTGGGCTGGGCGTGCCAGGAAGGACATGCAGCAGCTGACAACTAAGGCAGTTTTCCCCTCTGATGGTTCGCTGTGAACCAGTGGGACAGTCTCAAGAACTATCAAGATGACGGGATAGTTCAAGATTACAGGATCCCAAGCACATGTAAGGTGAGGATTTAGCTACTAGGCCAAAGCACCAGGACCAACCAGTAATATTTCTTGCACTTAAAAAAAGAAAAGAAAAAGAAACCATAGGCTCAGCATAATGGCTCAACAGGTTAATCCTCCCCTTGTAAGTACTGGCATCCCATATGGGCACCAGTTCATGTCCAAGCTGTTCCACTTCCCATTAAGTTCCCTGCTTGTGGCTTGGGAAAGCAGCAGAGGACAGCCCAAGTCCTTGGGACCCTGCAGCTGTGTGGAAGACTCGGGAGAAGCTGCTGGCTTCATTTTCACACACAAACAGCACTTACCACAAATAAGTTCCACCTGCTGCACTCTGTCCATGCTGCTCAGGGTGTCCATCAAGGGGTCACGCCGGTCGGCCGCCTGCTCCACCTTGCCCTTGTTTTCATAAGCCAGCACCGTGTCACATTCATCTGTCAGGAAGAGCACATCCAGCTCTCCATACATTTTCTTTAAGAGATAAAACCACATATCTCATTAGGAGTGCACATCCTCCTCAAGTGAACCTCGTGAGCAGAACTAAAAATGTAATGAGTTCTACTGAAAACAGCAGAGTTCTGCACAGTTCATTCTGTTTGTGCAAATCTATTCTAGAAATCTCTCAGCTTCCTAGCCGACACTATATGGTCTATATGGGCTGTATTCAAAAATCACTGATTTACTGTAACTTACAAACAATGTATGTTTTCAAGCCAACCCCACAGACACACAAAAAAACTGCCATTTTCCACTAAAATTAAAGTCAATTTAAAAATGACGTAACTCTTCATGTCTTCCACAAGCATTCAAACCGTAAGCACTGCTCCATCCATTCACTTGGTATAGACATTTTGAAGCTCTGCACACACGCCAATTCCACAAACACACCTTCAGGACACAAAACACGCTGACACCACAGCTCAGACCCTCACCGTGCACTCCGGGCAGGTGCACAGCTGGCTGCGCCAGTTTGGGGGCCAATAGGTGGCACTGTCCTTCTTCATAAACGGCTTAGCTTTCAGAGCCTCGAGTTTGCAGCCAGACTGTAGTTCTGTGTTGAGGCTTTGATTCTTAAGCACTTTCTGAAATGAAATTTTGAAACACTTATAAAGTGTCACAGCTTTACAGAGCAGAAATTTTATAAAGGGCTTTCTTTAGGCAAGAAGCAAGTGAAATCTTGAAGCTCCAGTGCTTTCAGAATTAGCTTTGCTGGCTTCTCCATCGTTACCTGAGGATGGGATTCAGAACTAGAAGTGGCACAGGGCTCTTCAATCTGCTCGGCGTTCCCTCCAGCGGTGGCCTCCTCTCTGAGGGCACTCGCCTGGTGCTCCCCATTCCCAGGTTTACTAACTTCCTGATCACCTGGTCCTTCAACATTCAGCACCAAGCCATCATCCTCAGCAGACGTTTTGGTTACTGCGGGTTCAACGAGAAACAAATAGACTTACACATCCTCCAATCTACGCAGACAACGAAATTCCTCATCCTGACTGAAAAATCTCTCGGAATCTAGAGAGGAAGCAAAGTCTGCAATATTGAGAAAGGAAATATCAATACCTTTTAGTTATGCCTGCATGATCCAATAATTCAAATAACTGATAAGTTCTCTGAATAATACCAATCACTTTGTAAGCATTTACATGTAAAAGGATGACGTATTGTATATGTTAGAGAAAACGCAAGAGGCAACCGGCAGTAAGAAAAATTACAAACACTGGTAAAAGCATCATTCTGGAAAAAAATAAGAACTAAAGGATGGCTGTGGAAACATACTGTGAAGCAGTAGGGAGCTCCAATTTGGATATGGCATCACATGGTAACAGGAAGGGCCCGTGTTGTGGCACAGCATCTCATATCCCATAACAGAGTGCCACCTGACATCGAGGCTGCTCCCCTTCAGATCCAGCTCCCTGCTAATGCTCCTGAGAAGACACTGCAGGATGGCCCAAGTCCTTGGGTCTCTGCCACCCACGTGGAGGAACAGGATGGAGTCCCTGGCTCATGCCTTCTGCCTGGGGCAGACCTGGCTATTGGAGTCATTTAGGGAGTGACCAGAAGATAGAAGATCTGTCTGTCCCTCTCCGTCACTCAGCCTTTCAAGTAAATAAATAAATGTTTTTAAAATGATGTAGCAGGGGCCCGGTGCTGTGGTCTAGTGGCTAAAGTCCTCACCTTGAACGCGCCAGAATCCCATATGGGCACCAGTTCTAATCCTGGCAGCTCCACTTCCCATCCAGCTCCCTGCTTGTGGCCTGGGAAAGCAATCAAGGACGGCCCAAAGCCTTGGGATCCTGCAGCTGTGTGGGAGACCTGGAAGAAACTCCTGGCTTCAGATCGGCACAGCACCAGCTGTTGCACTCACTTGGGGAGTGAATCATTGGATGGAAGATCTTCCTCTCTGTCTCTCCTCCTCTCTGTATATCTGACTTTGCAATGAAAATTTTAAAAATAAATAAATAAGTAAATCTTTTAAAAAAAATGATGTTGCAGGAAATGAAGCTATCTGCTTTATCGAAAGGAAGGAAATGAAAGCAGACAGGGAAAGATCAATTAAGAAACCCACTCAGTGAGACACACATATCCAGGTCCAGTGCCTGTGGCAAGCGCTGCACCTGGAAGATATGAACACGAGGGAGCACTAAGTTTAAGAGCTCTGAGGCAAAATCAAAGTGTGAGACAACTTCCTACTAACACTGCCCAGGAGGCAGCGGGCGAGGCTCCGGCACGGGGCTCTCTGCCGCCCACGTGGGAAGCCTGGAGATGCAGACTCCTACTAGCCTCATCCTGACCCAGCCCCGCTTTTCCTGGGAGTGAGCCACCAGGTGGACAGGATCTCTCCTTTGTCTCTCTCTTTGGTTTCATATACATAAAACAAGCAATTAAAGACAAACCTATGTGTCGGATAAGGTCTTAGGTATGGCTCTGCTGCTCCTGGCTTGAATGCTCAGTGGCCCCTAAAGGTGAGACACAGACCACAGCAGCAGATACTAAACTCAGCCACACGCACACTTAGCATCACTATGAATACACTGAATATTTAGGAAACCATTCAGTGCTGCCTAGTTGTTTCAATTCAACTTCTCAGTGTGAGAAAAAGTCTCACCACCTGTTACAGTTCAACGTTTGTGTCTCCCGGTTCGTGTGTGAAAACCTGACCTCCAACAGTCACAGTCCTTTAAAAGGTGACAGTCACAACTGCTCACCTCGTACTTGGGGTCACTGCCCTCATATGAACAGAAGAGGTCCCCTTGTGCCACAGGAGAATACACAGAAAGCTTGAGCTAGGAGACAGGGACCCTCACCAGGAAGTGCACTGTTGGGGCTTAGGCCCTGGACTCCCAGCCACCATAGCTACAGGCAGAACATTTCTCTGACTGATGGATTACGGAATGCTGTCAATAGTATTTTGGTTATAGCACCTTAAAGGGACTAAGAATCACCCCTCGATAGCATGTCTTACAAATAATCATAGTTTGTTTTAGATTTATCTTTCAAAGTCCAACTCATACTACTGCCTCCATTTTCTCTAGTTCTGGTCTCATCCATGCTTTGCACCACACCACTTAAGTACAAATTTGATGCTTTTACCAGTTAAGACTCCCCACCAATTTACAAACACACCGAGAAGGAACACATCCTTCAGGGTTTTCCGTATCTGAGTCCAACCAAAGCTAGGTGCAAAAAGTCTGGGTTAAACATCCGAATCTCACGATCCCTACCTGCCAACCGCGCAGCGTAAGCCCACAAGAAGGAGCAGCGCTCCATGCATGCCTGGCACACCATTTCCTGGAAATCTCCGCTCTCGGGAGGGATGGCTCCGAGGTGCTGCAAACACACAGAGCAAGCGTTCCATCAGGGTGCACAAAATACCCATGGTGTTACAAGCAAATACTGAAACTGTACCTGGATAGTATCCTTACTCTTAAAAGCCGAACTATAATATAACAATTCTCTTTTTGAGAAGACAGCAAGTTTTAAAGGTGAAAGTTCTTACCCTCCCGTGGAACCAGTCTTCACAGACCACACACTGGATCATCTCATCTGGAATCTAGCAGAGAAAGACAGTGTGTGTGTTAGCAACCGCACTGCCTGCTGGACACACCGTGAGCCCCCAGCCCGTGCAGCAGGCACGCAGGGCAGAGGCCTGCTCCACGTGAGCTTCTCTGAGAGGCCTACACTGCAGCAGGCACTTCACATGCAGTTATCAAAGCTCAAGTAGAAACCTAATACCTGCTTCTCACAAAATTTTAGGAGGTAAATAAGCATTTCTGTTTCAGACAGACCCAGCCCATAGCAGCAATGAGAGTATCTGTTAGGTGATAGCTTAGATTTAACCACCCACGTTGCCAAGCATTGCCAAGTCAGTGTCACAACTGCTGATTACAAGTAATCAATTTTTTCTCTAATTTTAATAAATTCAATAATTAAATATCGGCCCTAGGAAATTATGCACCAAAAGACTCAGACTAACTAGGGGATGAGATTTTCCTTTATTTTCACAACCTTTCCTGTCTGCTCATTAACATGTCAATGTTGTCCTTCCTATTCTTTTTGAAAAGTCAGTAACAGGGCCCAGCAAGGTAGCCTAGTAGCTAAAGTCCTTGCCTGTGTGTGTCAGGATCCCATATTGCCGCCAGTTGCTATCCTGGCTGCTCCACTTCCCTTCTAGCTCCTTGCTTATGGCCAGGGAGGGCAGTAGGGCACGGCCCAAAGCCTTGGGATCCTGCACCCACATGGGAGACCCAGAAGAAGCTCCTGGCTCCTGGCTCCTGGCTTCAGATCAGCTCAGCTCTGGCTGTTGCAGCCACTTGGGGAGTGAACCAGCGAATAGATCTTTCTCTGAATCTCCTTCCCTCTGTATATCTACCTTCCCAATAAAAATAAGCAACAACAACAAAAAGTCAGAGAGAGAAAAAGTGACAAAGTTAGAGAACTTTCACCCACTGCTTCAGTCCCCAAATGGCCAGCCTGAAGACTCTTCCAAGTCTCGCACATGGGCAGCAAGGGTCAAGCACTTGGATCACCTTTTGTTGCTATTCCCAGGCGATTATCAAGGAGCTGGAAGGAAACTGGAGCAGCTGGGACTCGAATCAGCACCTCCACGGAATGCCAGCATTGTAGACAGTGGGCTTTACCCACTCTGCCACAACACCAGCCCTCCTGTATCAGTATTGGTTAGAGTCCTGGCAGCTCCACTTCTGATCCAGTTTCCTGCTAATGTGCCTTGAAAACAGCAACAAACAGCCCAGGCACTTGGTTGCCAGCCCTCCTTTGGGCTCCTAGCTTTACTCCAGCCCAGTCCTAAGCTGATGTGGCCATTCAGGAAGTGAACTAAGAGAAAAAAGACCTCTGTCTTTTTTTCCTCTCTCTGCCATTTAGCTTTTCAGAAAAACAAATATTTTTTTAGAAGTTATAATTTAAAACATTCAGTTTTAAATTTTCACTTTTGATAATCCCAAAGGATATCTTTAGTTCACTCCTCTATGCAGTTGTTTCAAGAATTACAGTTGCAAAACAGTGAGAAAGCAAAGAGGAGGCCAGTGTGGCACAGCAAGTAAAGCTACCACCTGCAATGCCAGCATCCCACATGGGTGCAGGTTCGAGTCCCAGCTGCTCCACTTTTGATTCAGCTTCCTATTAAATGGCCTGGGAAAGCAGAAGGTGATGGCCCAGTGCTTGGGTCCCTGCATTTCCTGGGGAGTCCGAGGAAGCTCCCGTCTTTAGATCAGCCCAGCTCAGCTCTGGCTGTTACAGTCATTTGTGGAGTGCACCAATGGATAAAAGATCTCGTTCTCTCCCCTCTCTCACTGTAATTCTGACTTTGAAATAAACAAATACTGATACAGGAGGGCTGGTGTTGTGGCAGAGTGGTAAAGCCACTGCCTACAATGCTGGCATTCCGTGCAGGTGCTGATTCGAGTCCCAGCTGCTCCAGTTTCCTTCCAGCTCCTACCTATCTAGATATATATACGGATATATTTACCTATCAAAACACATGAACATACAGTGATCATGCCTGGGAAACAAGGGATACAGCAGCAAGAATCCACTTTAAAATCTGTGTGTTCTTCTAATTAAATACTCCATTTCTTCTTTTTTTTTTATGGAATTAATTGACATAGTATTGAGTAAACAATATGTTAAAAATAATGCAAGTTCAATTCTTCAAAACACCTGGGTTGAGACAGTATCAATGACAGGTTCAAAAAATAAACAATCAAGCAAAAATTACAGGTTAAATCAAGGCAAACATGTGGTATCTAACCTTTTGGGATTCGCTCATTTCCCTAAGCATTATTGTTTCCAGTTGGGTCCATTTAGCCACAAAGAACTGCATTTTGTTTTTTTTAATAGCTGAGTAGTATTCCATGGGTAGATGAACCAAAGCTTTCTTATCCAATCTTCTGCTGATGGGCATTTTGGTTGCTTCCATGTTTTTGCAATTACTGATTGTGCTGCTATGAACATAGGGATGCATGTTGGTTTGTCGTGAAACAGGTGTTTTGGATATATTCCTAGGAGTGCTATTGCTGGGTCATATGGTATGCAGATTTTGAGTTGTTTGAGTGTTCTCCAGACTGATTTCCATAAATGTTGTACCAACTTGCAGCTCCACCAGCAGTGGAGCAGGGTTCCCTTTTCCCCGCATCCTCGCCAACAAGTGTCGTTGGTGTTCTTGTTTATGTGGGCCAATCTTACTGGTGTTAGGTGGTACCTCATCGATGTCTTAATTTGGATTTCCCTTATTGCCAGGGAACTGGAGCATTTTTTCATATGTTTGTTTGCCATTTGGGCTTGTTCCTTTGTGAAATGTTTGCCCATTTCCCGAGCCCATTTCTTGAGTGGCTTGTTTGTTTTGGTTTTTTGGTTGTTTTGGAGTTCTTTGTATATTCTGGAGATTAGCCCACTATCTCCCACATAGTGCGCAAAGATCTTCTCCCATTCTGTGGGTTGCTTTTTTACTTTGCTGATTGTTTCCCTTGCTGTGCAGAAGCTTCTTAGTTTGATGAGGTCCCATTTGTTTATTCTGTTCTTAACTGCTATTGCTTTTGGCGTCCTTCTTAGAAAGTCAGGACCTTCCATTTCTTCTTTTTAAAATTTATTCCTTTTTATTGGAAAGGCAATTTTTTCAGATTTTTTTTGAAATTATTTTGATAATCTTAGTTGATTAGGGTACAAAGAGTCAAGGGGTACAGGAAAGTGGGTAAGACTGTTGCTTCCACACTATTATTGTTTTTTTTTTTTTTTTCTGTATCTGGGGTAAAGAGGGAGATAAAGGCAGAAGCTCCACCCAGTCTCCCACCCATCCCTGGTCCCTGATGTGGGGCATGCTCAGGGCCCTGCTCGAGTGGTTTTGGTAATTCATCAGTTCTGAATTGCTGCCAATCTCACCATTCTAAGCACAATGAAATTGCTGCAGAATCCACTGGCTGACATAGAACACCTTAGTCTTCATTTGCCCAGATCTTCACTGCCAACACATGACTGGGGTAGATGATTGATTTGTTCTGTCCTCCATCCTCTGTTGTGGTACCAGGTGTCCTCTGCAGGTTCTGATGGACTGCCATATCCTCCACGAGCACCTGGGTATGCTGTCCACTGCTCTGTCTGAGCCTCTCAGGAGGCTCAGCTTTGACACTTGCACTCCATGGTCAGACGATAGAACCTGCACTTGTCTTCATGGTTGGGGTTCTGAGTCCGGCAGTTCGATTGAGGAGATCCCCAAAGAAACTTTGTCTGAGGTAATCCCAGACCAGATTCTTGTGTGTGTTTGCCTCACACAAACCAGTGGGAGCTGCAGCCTAGTCAGAGCGACCCGCAATAACTCCCACTAGGCCTGCACCCTGCCCTGGGGCCTATGCTTATCAGTATGTACCACAGATTAGTCCAGTCTGTCCCACATCCCATTCAGCTCTCCTACACGTCAATGGGCACTGAAGCCTAGTTCAACCCAACCAGGCCCACTCTCTAGCCTACACTAGTTGGTGCCATTCTGTCCAGCCAGGTCTGCCCCAGTTCTGGTTTTCATGCTCTCCAGTGTGAGTGATAACCCAAGATGGAAGTGCCTACTATTTCCCTCCTGGGCCCACTCCCAGATCATGCACTCTCCAGGTGGTTCTGCAGTTTAACTTGACAGAATTAGCCCCCGGTGCCAGCATCTGCCAGCTGAGGAAAGGCAAATTTAGAGAAGGCAAGACAGAGAAAGATCTTACACCCACTAGTTCACTCCCCAAATGGCCACAAATCAAGTCAGGTCTGTACATTCCATTTCTTTCCTTTCAAAGAGGCAAGAAATTGAAGCTTTCTTAGAAAATGTGTGTGTGGTGGGAGAAAGGAGGCACCATAACTCAGTTGACTACCACTCCCCTCGCACGCACCAGGATCCCATGTGGGCGCTGCTTCGTGTCCTGGCTGCTCTACTTCCCATCCAGCTCCTTACTTGTGGCCTGGGAAAGTAGCAGATGATAGCCCAAAGTCTTGGGACCCTGCATCCGTATGGGAGACCTGGAAGAGGCTCTGATCTCCTGGCTTCAGATTGGCTCAGCTCCTGCCATTGAGTCCATTTGGGGAGTGACACAGTGGATGGAAAATATTCCTCTGTCTTACTCCTCTTTGTAAATCTTTCTAATAAAAATGAATAAATCTTAAAAGTGTTTTGGAAATGGTGCAGCAGGTAGGCAGGAATGTTAGAGAGAACAGGCATTTTGGCCCTAGGAAAGTTCCCTCTAGCATTTCATTTCTATGATGAAGGAATGGGTATAGTTGAACTCTGTAGCAGTTACAGATCCAATCCAGATGTATTAGAGATAAATCTAGACCCCTTCCACATTCCCAAAACTCCTCCTGAAAAGCGTCAGAGGACAAGATGAGACAAGAGGCTGAGAAATCAAAGCTGTGAGAGAACACAGTTCCGGGGTTTATTCTCCAATTCGCTTACCTCATCTTCAGGGTCAGGATAAGGTCTCTTGCAAGTGCAGTACAATCCAAAAAAGTTGTCATTGTACTTATTGCCAGAATTTACTTTTGCTTTATCCTAAAAGATACCAATTTCAATATGCAGTATGTCAAAATTTCAATTAGAGCTTCATATATCACAAAATGCAAACATTCAATAAAGTTCTGCATTAAAATTCTCTGACATAAGGTGGTTTCTTCAACTTTCAGAGTATGGAGGGAAGAAAAGTCGCTCTTTCTAACCGGACACCTTTTCCAGGACAGAAAATAAATAAAACATACTTCTTACACCTTTTTTGTGGCTACTGTGGGAAACCCAATATATTTTTAAATAAAACAGAGATGAAACTTAATTATGAACATTGATTTATCAACCTATGTGCACTGTCAATGGCCTAGAATTCCAAAGTACTTCTTTAGGCCAGTTGTGATAAGCAAGGCTGCCAGCTTACCTACCAGGAGGCAAAAAGAAGCAAAGAAATGTCCAAAGCCAATTGCAAAGGAGGGGAAAGCATGAGTTTCAGCAATGATGAGAGAAACGGAACATTCCTACATGGACCCATAACTTCTATTAGCCAAAAAGCAATAGAAAAAAAAAGTCCTGAGTGCACCTTGTCCACTTTCATGATTACAACAGACCATTTGTTTTAAAGCTTCAGAGAGAGAGCACGCAAGCATAGAGGGAACTGCTGTTGGGGTGCCGCATGGAGGGTTTGCACCCCAAAGCGAAGGCCTGACTAGAATGCCAGGTGCGCCAGCTTCCTGTTGATGAGCACGCTTGGAGACGCCAGGGATGGCTCAAGTACCAGATCCTGTTGCCCACATGGCAGCAGGGCTAGACTGGGCTCAACACTCCCGGCTCCGGTTCGACCCAGTATCAGCTGTTGGCAGGACTTGGGGAGTGAACCTCTAGTTGGAACATCGCTGCCCGTCTGTCTCTCTGCCTTTCAAATAAAAATGCACGAACAGAGCAAAAGCTTCCGTGTGCGCACAACCACCATGAACAGACCTGATTCCAAAGAACATTGTCATTCAAAGCCTCTCCTGTTAATGACAATCCCTATGGTAGGCTCTGAGCGGGTTCTGCAGTTTACCCAACAAAACAAGAGAGAGCATTTTTGCAAAAAAGAAGCATAGAAATATCTTTTCTGAAAAATATTTGTCTAGTATCAGTTTAATTTCTTTAAATGTCTATAGTCTCAGTGCTTACTTACAGGAAATAATTTGCATTCCAAATTTTTAAATTTGCTGTTTCCGCAATCACAACGAAAATTTCTGGGGAGGAAAAAAAAGACACAATTTTATTTTTCCTTAAATTCTAACGAAGTACTTTTTAAAACTCAAATTATAACCTCTTTGTTTTCTGACTCATTTCTAAGATTTAAAAAGTGGTTTTGCTTGCTCTTCATTTAGCCAATTTGGAATGTCTCCAAATATAAAACAATAAGGCATTTTAGAACTCTGTAAAATATGCGTAAGACAAACATCGTTACCACAGATACACAAAATGCTGACAGACAAGTTGTGGTGGTTACAGCACATACTAGAATTATATTTTAAAAGCTCCTAAAACCATGTGTATATTTTATTACACTAAACAACTAAATTAAATTTCACTAGTGCACAATTTCTTTGAACGGCAGCACAAGGTTAAGGACAGAGTGCAGCCGGGAGACTCTAAGCATGTGGAAAGCATTCGTCACGATCTCTACACCTTTTTGTGTACAGTTCGAAGAGCTTATGACTCCCATGACACTCGTAACTGCAGGCGAGGCAAATTCCTGCTGGTTCTTCTCCCTCTGGGGTGCAGGTACTGCAAGCATACAGAGCTTGTCGCTTCACCGAGCCCTAGAAGCAACAAAAGAGCAAATGAATTAATGACTTGGTCTATTTACTTAACACCTGTATCAAGATCTGAGAGAGAGTGAAAATCACACAGTCTGTGGTTAACAGGTTCCTTTAAAAATCACTGTGGTGACTAAGATAGTCTATACAGGAATATTGAGACATACTCTATATTTCATCCAATTTTTTCTTAAAAGTCAGAAGAAGTTTTAAACTTGTCCATCACGTGAATGAGTTGGTCTGCAGACTTATTTTAACAATGAAAATTTCAAAGGCCCGGTACAGTAGCTTAGTGGCTGAAGTCCTTGTCTTGCATGTGCCAGGATTCCATATCGGACACTGGTTCATATCCCAGCTGCCCCACTTCCCCTCCAGCTCCCTGTTTATGGCCTGGGAAAGCAAGAGAAGATGGTCCAAAGCCTTGGGACCTTGCACCCATGTGGGAGACCCGAAGAAGCTCCTGGATTGTGGCTTCAGAATGCTCTGGTTGTTGCGGTCACTTGGGGAGTGAACCAGTGGATGGAAGATCTTTCTCTCTGTTTCTCTGTAAATCTGCCCTTCCAATAAAAAATAAATAAACCTTTTTTTACATGGAAGTCTAAGTAATATCTTACTTTCAGGTTTGAAAAATGATTATAATTCCACCAAAGAGAAAAATCAATGCATAAAAAAAGAAAGAAAATCCTTTTATTAGGAGATGCGTGTTGAGACAGAGATGTAGGATTCTGATGTCCATAACTTATTTGAAGTTGTGCAAAGCAGAAAGCAAAGGAGAAATAAGGCAAGTGCAGCTCAGCGTCACAAAGGGAGCACAGGGTAAGACACCACATGGGACACTCTGATCCCCTATCAGAGTGCCAGCTGGACTCTGGCTTCCTGCTAGTGAGCCTGGCAAAGCAACAGACGGTGGCACAAGTGGCTTGAGTCTCTGCTGCCTAAACAGGCGGCTCAAATAAAGCTTTGGGCTCCTGCCTTCAGCCTGGCCCATCAGGGTTTGTTCCAGCTTTCTGGGGAGATTTGTCCCATGTATCTCTCATATAAACAAATCTTTCATTTAAAGAAAAAAAAAAATAGTTCCAAAGCAAAAAGCTAAAGTAAAAGCATACAAAACTTGTAGACATCTCCACAACGGAGGCCCACATTGTGGCATAACAAGAATAGGCATCCCATGTGGATGCCAGTTCGAGTCCTGGCTGCTCCAGCTCCAATCCAGCTTCCTGCTAATGCACCAGGGAATGCAGAGAATGGCCCAAGTGCATGGGGGCCTACTCTTATTTCAGAGATATGGATGAAGCTCCTGGCTGCACCCCACCCTTGTGGCCTTGTGGGGAGTGAGCCAGTAGATGGAAGGTCTGTCTGTAACTCTTTTTTAGTTTTTGAGTTTTTTTTTTTAAATGGCAGATTTATAAAAAGGTGAGAAAAATCTTCCATATACTGGTTCACTCCTCAAATGGCCTAAACAGCTGGAGCTGAGCCGAGCTGATCTGAAGCCAGGAGCTTCTTCTGGGTTTCCCACACCTGTGCAGGGTCCCAAAGCTTTGGGCCCGTCCTCCACTGCTTTCCCAGGCCACAAGCAGGGAGCTGGATGGGAAGTGGAGCAGCCGGGACAGAACTGGCTCCCACAGGGGATGTCAGTACTGTGAGGTGGAGAATGAGCCTGCAAAGCCACCATACTGGCCCTCTCTGCTTTTCAAATAATAAATTAATATTTTTTAAAAGGCCAATAAAATCTCCATAATGGCTTAATTCTACTCTGGGGAGGGAGGTGGGGAGGGTCAGTATTTCCTTGGATGTCGGCTGAGACTTGATCCCAGAGCCACAATGTGGGGACTCCCGTGCTCACTTTACACAGCACTTGTGCAAATGGGCCTTTGGTTTTACAATAAAAGGGAAAAGATGAATTTGTTCAACGAAGCTCACTTTATTTCCAAAATAGCTCACGAAGAGGCTTAAGCCTTTAATTTTTTCCAGTTATTTCTAGCGATGACCAAAGGTTTAAATCCCAGGCAACATCTGGGACTGCGTCCGGGCAGCCGGGCTTTCTCACTTATCTAACCGCCGGGCAGGGTCAGCTCGGCAGGGTCAGCAGTGACCGGCGGCATTATGATCACAGTCCATGCCACGAAACGCCCGACCCTCATCACGTTCCCCGTGTGCCACCCATTCTAGGCCCTCGTCCGTTTTTCTCCCTACCCACCCTCCTCCATGTTCGTACCTAGAAATATTTAGGATGAGTCACTCCACCGAGAACATCACGCCCCCTCCTGCCCTCGTCATAAGCCCTTCCCAATGTCCAAGAGACCCTCCCCCATCCCCGCCTCTTCACTTATCCTCCCTGGCCTGAACCACCTGCTGTCCCGGTTCTGGTCTCCTTCCACTCCCCAAGCCCCCCGACGAGGGGAAGAATGTAGGTGGACGTGGTCCTGGCTTCATCCATCCCCCGTAACCCTCCCCGAGGAGGGGCAGGTGGACGCGGTCCGGACTTCATTCCGCCCCAAACACCACCTAGTAGCACCTATACCTCTCCAAAGCCGCCCGTCCCTTACTCCGGGAGCGCTCTCTCGTCCAACCCTACAACAAATACCCTCGGGAGGGGGAAAAACGAGGACAAAGACGTGGGGGTGAGCGAGGCCACCGGGCCGGGGGAGGGTTCTATGGGAAATCAGCCGGGGGGGGGGGGGGGACAGAGCATCGGTTTCGTGGGGCCAAGGCCGGGGAGTCCTGGGGAAATCGGACACGGACTGAGGGAGGCGGGGAGGTCCCTGCTGGAAACGGACTGAGGAGGAAGGAGGCAGCCGGGCCGAGAGAAACGGCCGCCTCGGCTCACCCCAAGGGAGAGCGCAGAGCCTGCAGGGACGAGGAGAGGCCGGCCGGGAAGACCGGGTTCCGCCGGAGCCGGAGGGGGCAGGGGAAGCCCGGGCCACGCGCCCACCTGCGAGTAGGAGCACTTCTCCGAGTCGCTGCCGCCCAGGACGGCGCACGCCTCGTTCTCCAACTCCTCGTCCTCCTCGAGCACGTCGACCAGCGACACCACGGGCTCCAGCTCCGCCTGCTGCCCGGCGGCCCCGTCAGCTCCGGCCATCCTCAACTGTCAGCCGCCCCGCAGCTCGGGCTCGGCGGAGGCGGGAAAAGCGGCCGCGAGAGGCGGGGCCGGAGGAGGCGGGGCCTCCGCGCCAGGAGCCAATCCCGACAAAGGATCCGCGAGCGGGGAAGGGGAAGGAAGTCGCTCGTTCCCGTTAGGCCGTCTGCGCTGGCCCGCGGGCTGGTTTCCTCTTCCGGGGCGCGCTGCTCTGTGGCGCGCTCTTGAAGCGCCGTGGTCGCTATGGAGCTGGTGGCCGAGTACGTCGGGGAGGACGGGCAGCCGCGGAGGCTGCAGGTGCCCTGCGCCGACGCCGACGCCCTCGAGGGCCTGCTGGTCGGCGTGGCGCGCATGAAGGAGCTGGTCACCGAGCTCCTGGGCCCGCCGGGGCCGCGGGAGGCACAGGACCAGCCGGCGGAGGGTGACGACGAGGCCTCGGACGGTGAGCTGTGAGGAGGTGTGGCTCGAGGGCGAAGAAGGGGGGCCTTGGGAGGGGACCCCCGCGCTGTGGCCGGCGGGGCGGAGAAGGGGCGCCTTGGGAGGGGACCCCCGCGCTGTGGCCGGCGGGGCGGAGAAGGGGCGCCTTGGGAGGGGACCCTCACCTGAGCCCTGTCGCCTGGACTGCTGGCTCCCAGGCGCGTTGGCGTCCTTTGGAAACGCTTTTTTTGTTTTGTTTTGTTTCTGTCACCAATAAAAATCCGCGAGTCTTAGCTCCCAAGGATTCTTTCTCCCAGTCTTGGGGAGATGACAGTTTCAAAACAGAAACGTGTTTCGCTTCGTGGATTTAAAAGAGAAAAATACTCGTGTCCTGAATACAAAATTCACGAGGTGCGTGTTGACCAGACTCAAACACGTTGTTTAGCAGCGTTAAAACAATCTACAGGACTTAGTGCATTTCCCTGGTTTACGATAATACTAATACGGGACATGAAGATAACATATAGGTTGGCAGTCATCAAAAATAAACATTCAGTCGTTGTCTAGATCCGAAGGAGATGGGAAATGTTGTATGTGATTGGTGGGAATGTGAGATGGTGTTCCCGCTTCCCGTGAAGTTCCTGCAGAAAAGGTGCAGGTATTCACAGCCAAGTCCATCACCTCGAGTGGGTTTACGCCCCCACAGCGTTGAGTGAACCAAGCAATCAGCCAGCACGGAACGTGCGGGAAGCAAGGAGAATCCGTCAGTCCGCAGATGGCAAGCCATGGCCTGTGGTGGCGGCTGGGGGCGAGGGAGACCCAGTGCAGATGGGTTCCAGGCTTCTTTTGGGGGTGATGGAAACTGTTGTAGAATCAGGTAGCAGCACTGGTTGCACAAGCTGCTAAACCCGCCGACCTACGCACCTTCAAGAGTAAATTTCTCATGGTAAATGATTTAAAGCTCTTCCAACAGTGATTGTAAGTGCTGGGAATTGCATTTCTTTCCAATTTAAAGTATGCATGGTTTTATTCATCCTTAGAGCGGTCTCTATCCGCCGTCTTAGCTGTCAGTACTTCTTTCAACCACTGATCATAATGTCGTACAACAAATGTTTATTTTAAAAGGTGGTGATGAAGATGGTGCAGAAGATGAAAATCACGTTGGTAACAGAGCTAGTGCAGGCGGACCCTCTGCAAAACGGCCCAAACTGTCGTCATCCTCACCCTGACAGTAGCTTTGTGACATTTTAGAAACTGCTTTTGTGTCCATTATCATGACTGATATTTTAAAAAGATGTGGGCTCTGGTTGGAAAAAGTGTTTGTTTTCCAGGATAGATTTGCCAAAGAGAAAACTGCTTCTATTGAAGAAAGATAAAATAGGTTGTTTAGAAATGAAGTTCGTTTTCACAAGTGTGAAATCCAGGTCATGGAAATAAAATAGAAACTAAAGTGAAGCTGTTGAAATTCAATAGACTACTTACTAGTGTATAGAAATCCTCTAGGTTGCCAGTTGAACTTTTGTTTCCTGTTTTTAAAACCATCGTTAGGTTGGGATACCTGCACCTTTTAGCTTCTGTTGTAAAAAGTGCAGGTCATGATTCCTGAACAGTAGCATTGTAAGGAACTGGCCTGAGCCAAATGGTGAAAATTGGCTGTTAGCTGGTTTACTGTCAGCTGTTTAGAAGAAACAGAAGGGATAGAATACTGAAGAGAAAGAAGAGTCCTTGACAGAAAACGATGAAAATCTTGAATTCACACGTGCACCCAGTGTCCAGCCACCCAGAGGTGCTAGATGGTTTCGACGTTGCACCTGTGCCCCGTGTCCAGCCACCCAGAGGTGACCCATTCATTCAATGGCCTCGACGTTGCACCTGTGCCCCATGTCCAGCCACCCAGAAGTGACCCATTCATTCAGTGGCCTCGACGTTACACCTGTGTCCCGTGTCCAGCCACCCGGAGGTGACCCATTCATTTAGTGCCCTCGACGTTACACCTGTGCCCCGTGTCCAGCCACCCAGAGGTGGCCCACTCATTTGATGGCATGGACTGCTGTTTTTGAGAGGCTGAAGGCGTGTGGTTTCAATACTCTGATGTGTTACACCTACAAATACAAGTAAAAGGCCTTAAGTAAACAAGCTAAGTTGGTAATAACATGGATATTTCCTTTTTCCTGTAGCCATGCTTTACTTTTCTTAAGAAATTATTAAATCCCTTTATATATATATAAAACAAAAATACATGTGAGTGTGTATTCTTTTCTGCTTGAAAGGGGGACTGGGGCGTTTTTGTTCACTAGGCATCTTCCTGGAGTAATGTACATAGCTAAAATGCAAAGAAATCAAATAGCATATGCCTAAGAATGTGAATACTGGGCCCAGCGTAGTAGAGAGGTAGCTAAAGTCCTCACCTTGCATGCGCCGGGATCCTATGTGAGCACTGGCTCATGTCCCAGTATCCCCATTTCCCATCCTGCTCCCTGCTTGTGGCCTGGGAAAGCAGTCGAGGATGGCCCAAAGCCTTGGGAGCCTGCACCCACGTGGGAGACCTGGAAGAGACTTTGGGATGCTGGCTTTGGATCGGCTAAGCTTTGGCTGTTGTGGTCACTTGAGGAGTAAACCAGTGGAGGAATGATCTTCCTCTCTCTTACTGTGTATATCTGACTTTCCAGTGAAAATAAATCTTGGCATGATGGCAGCTAAAGTCCTCACCTTACACACGCCGGGATCCCATATGGGCGCTGGTTCTAATCCCAACAGCTCCACTTCCCATCCAGCTCCCTGCTTGTGGCCTGGGAAAGCAGTCGAGGACAGCCAATGCTTTGGGATCCTGCACAGGTGTGAGAGACCTGGAGGAAGTTCCTGGCTCCTATCTTCGGATTGGCGCAGCACTGGTTGTTGCGCCCATTCGGGGATTGAATCATCAGACGGAGGATCTTCCTCTCTATCTCTCCTCCTCTCTGTATATCTGACTTTGTAATAAAAATAAATAAATCTTTTAAAAAGGATTTTTTAAGTAAAGCTTTTAAAAATGTAAAAAGATTTATTTTGTTTATTTGTAAGAGTTCTGGGCTGGGATAAGGTGTGTCTCCCCCAAATGGCTGACGTGGCCAGGTGACAGCCAAGACACTGAGACTGACCATGTTCCCTGCGGAGGTGGCACCATCTTTTGGACCACCCTTTGCCGTCTGATGAGTAAACTAGCAGATGGAACTCTATGAATATGCCTTTCCAATAAAAATAACAATTTTTTAAAAAGATTTATTTATTTATTGGAAAGTCAGATATACAGAGAGGAGGAGAGACAGAGGAAGCTCTTTTCTCTGATGATTCACTCCCCAAATGAGCGCAACGGCCGATGCTATGCCAATCCAAAGCCAGGATCCAGGAACTTCTTCCAGGTCTCCCACATGGGTGCAGGGTCCCAAGGTATTAGGCCATCCTCGACTGCTTTCCCAGGCCACAAGCAGGGAGCTGGATGGGAAGTGGAGCTGTTGGGATTAGAACCGGCACCCATATGGGATCCCAGCACATTGAAGGCGAAGCCTTTAGCTGCTAGGCCATGCCGCCGGGCCCAAAATAACCGTTTTTTTTTTTTTTAACAGCATAGAGATCCTTCATTTGTTGATCCACTCCTTTAATGGCCGCAATGGCCAGAGGTAAACCAGTACAAAACTGGGATCCAAAAGGTTCTTCCAGGTCTCCCACGTGGGTGCAGGGGCCCCCAGGGCCTTGGAACATTCTCCACTGGTTTTCCAGGCCGTCAGCAAGGAGTTGGGTGGAAAATGAATCAGTTCGAACACATACCTATTTGGGATGCCAGTCCTGCAGGCACAAGATTAGCTTGCTATGCCACTATGCAGGCCCCATATTTTTGAAATACTTTTGCTTGGAACATAAACCTTCTACTGAGTAGTCCAGTGTAGTCAAAACAGTGCCAACTGGGCAAAGTCATACATGAGCAATTACTGCTTAGATTTTGGTAATGTTCCTAATATTAATCTCACTGTAATAGTACACCACTGTATTGCTTAGGCACAGAAAACGCTTGCTTCCCATACATAGAGATCATATTGTTAAATATATCAATGAGTATTGCTCCTGAATGTTACGTTGCTTCAGTCTGTACGTCATTGTGCTTCTGTTCTGAAGTTTGGTTCTAGGTTATAGGCTTCATTTTTTTTATTTAGTTGCAGAACTGATGCTAATTCTAATAGTATCTTCATAAGTGAGCCACATATTTGACAAGAACAATCAGAAAGACAGAGAAACAAATGCCTAGTTTTGTGCTGTGCTGCATTCTGATGGTGCAAATATTAGCCATAGCAGTTACTACTTGAAACTATTCCAGTTTTATTTTTAATCTAAAACTGTGCTGAATACTAGATATAAATGGAAAAAAAAAAAAGGCATAAGGGGGCCCAGTACGATGGCGCAGTGGTTAAGGTCCTCGCCTTGCACGCCTGGGATCCCATATGGGCGCCGGTTCTAATCCCGGCAGCCCCGCTTCCCTTCCAGCTCCCTGCTTGTGGCCTGGGAAAGCAGTCAAGGACGGCCCAATACCTTGGGACCCTGCACCCGCGTGGGAGACCCGAAAGAGGCTCCTGGCTTTGGATCGGCATAGCATCGGCCGTTGTGCTCACTTGGGGAGTGAATCATTGGAGGGAAGATCTTCCTCTCTGTCTCTCCTTTCTGTATATCCGCCTTTCCAATAAAATAAAATAATAATAAAAATAAATCTTTTTTTAAAAAGGCATGGGGAAAGAGATTTGTGTTGTGCTCACATCGCCAACCCCATCATTTAGGAATGGGTGTTAATATTAAAGGTTAATGTTTCTGCAACTAATTGCTTGTCAAGTCCCCAGTCAAGTGCCCTCCTCTGCGTAGCTCTCACTTTAAACATTTTCTCCAGGAATCCTTTACTTGATTAGAGAGCTCCATGTGCTTTGAGCATGCTGTTTTGTGTGATAGGTTATAACATTTTGCAAGATAAGGAAAAACTGAAAGGCTGACCAATATGAACCTTCAGAGAATGGAAGGTCTGTAATGTATTGGTGGTCACAAAATAGATTGCTCTAAGCACTTAGAAAATCAGGTTGATGGGGACAGCACTGTGGTGTAGCAGGTTAAGCCACCTCCTGCATTACTGGCATCCAAGATGGGTTCCAGTTCAACTCCCTGCTAGTGCACCTGAGAAAGCAACGAAAGGTGGCCCAAGTTCTTTGTCCCCTGCACGCGTGTGGGAGACCCAGCTGAAGCTCCTCACTTGTGCCTGGCCCAGCCCGGACCATTGGGACTATTTGCGGAGTAAACCAATCAGTGGAGGCTCTCCCTCCCCATTCTTCTCCCTTTGCGTCCCCACTCTATCCCTGCTTTCCTTTCTGTTTAAGGATTACTGAAAAAGCAGATTTAGAGGGAGGAGGAGAAACAAAAAGATCTTCCATCCACTGATTCACTCCCTAAATAGCTGCAGTGGCCAGAACTGAGCAGATCCAAAGCTAGGAGCCAGGAGCTTCTTCCAGGTCTCCACACGGGTGCAGGGTCCCAAGGCTTTGGGCCGTCCTCAGCTGCTTTCCCAGGCCACAGGCAGAGAGCTAGAAGGGAAGTGAAGCAGCTGGGACACGAACTGGGGCCCACATGGTATCCTGGTGCTTACAAGGTGAGGATTTGGCCGTTGAGTCATTGCATCAAGCTTATCTCTGCTTTTCAAAAAAATATTTTTAAAAATCGTTGGTTCTGTTAAAATGTTAAATGTACATACTTTTTTAAAATCAGTTTATTTGCACCAGATGACAGAAGCCCCCCCGAGTGTGTGTACTCTTTGTCTCAGCAGTTTCTCTCAGGAATTTGTCCTGCAGATGGTAACGTGTGTGCACAAGGATTGTATCCAGAGTATTTGTTGCAGCATTTTCTTAGTGAGATTATAAATAACATCGATGTCCATTAGCAGAAAGTCATAATTAGCTCGAAGAGCATTGATACTGTTACCACATGATACTGTTATCATGTGAGCATGACAAAGACCAGCAGCTGTGTGTGCTACTGAGGACCGACCTGTAATACGTTAAAAGAAGGCCAGCATGATGCAGGATTGTGGAAAGCTGCTCCTGGAGCGTGTAAGCTGGATATGCTTGCAGTGTTGCTGAAAGTTCAACCGCCTCCTGGAAGAATGATCTGGCATGATGGCTCAATTGGCTAATCCTTCCCTTTCCTTCTGCCTCCCTGCTTCTAGCTTGGGAAAGCAGTGGAGAATGACCCAGTGCCTTGTGACCCTGCATCATGTGGGAGACCTGGAAGAAGCTCGCTGCTTAAGATTGACTCAGCTCAAGCCATTGTGGCCATTTGGAGAGTGAGCTAGCAGTTGGGAGATCTGCCTTTCCAATAAAAACAAATATAAAAAAACTTTTAAAAGGCTAGTGAGATGGAGCCAGAATCAGGAGGACCGTGGGTGTATCTGTGTGTACGTGTCGAGGGGTTATTGTTCGGGGAGTTCTGCTTGCAGCAGCTGGTGTACAGCTGGCCCGTCTGGGAGGAACTGACTGCGGTAGCCCTCCCCTTCTCTGTAGAACTAACCCTGTCTGTGTCTCCCTCCATTCAGGAAAACTGCCTCAGCCTGGGTGGAAAAGTGTTTGCTCTGAACTGAACGGTATCCAGCCCGGATTGAAACAGTCAGTCCCCATCATGTAAAAGTGAAACACACAAATAAACAAACAAAATAAACAAATTTTTTAAAATTTAAAAAGATTTCCATTGTTTATCCTTCCATTCTCTGAGCTTTTTTAAATTTTATTTTTAAATTTTTATTTCATTTAAAACTCAAAACAAAAGAAAAATCTAGACTTAATTCTAAATTTTCCACCCAATTGCTTTGACAGATGACAGATTAGACAAACTCTGAAAGTTAGAAATGAAGGACTGGGATGAGATGAAGTACCATAGGGTGTGTGTGCATGCAAGAACAGTGTGTCTGAAATACAAAGTGAGTTTCAAAATGTTGCTGTAACTGTGTGTTTTCAGGTGACCTTTGGGTCAAAATTGCTCTATTTAAAGACCTGCCCCAGGAACAGTGAATGCTGGAAATAAACCCCTTTGAAAAGAAACAGCTCATGTTGGTACACCAACATGTTATTGATATGGCTTGTGAGGTTTTTTTCTTTGTTTTGTTTTGAAGAGTTATTTATTTGAAAGGCAGAGCTGTATCAGTCACAGTGGCTGAGATTGGGC